TTCGGCTCAGTAATTTTTTTGTTTTTGTTTTAATCTCTCCAAAAACTGCTACTGGTAATAGTATATGTTACACTTGGGTCTTAATTGTGACCACTTGGGGAAATTAATTGCCCACCGCTGCTATAAACAGTGTCACCACATGTAAAAGTCGTTTTTCCAACTATAAAGTGAAATGCATAAAATTTTATAAGATAACAGTATCAGTGTCAAAATTAACCCTAAAATGCAATATGATGTTGAAAGTGTCTGAGCAGCACTGGCAAAGACTTTATGACAGGCTGCTTTTCATGATTAAAACACATAAGAGATAGTGTAATCCTGTATCTAATTAGCGGGCGCCACAAGTCGATTCAGCCTCTCAGAAGGAGAGCAGCAGTCAGAGGCTGGTTTGACTCCCCAATCCTTATGAGATTAATGGCTAACCTCCCTCTGCCTGCTCCATTTACAGACCATGTCAGGTTTTCTTGGAAAGAGCACACTGCTGCTTCAGTTCTCACCTGCAAACATCTAAATGTGACCCTGTGCCAGTGCAGGTGCCTACGTGCGTGTTTATACAAACTGTATGTCAGTCAAGGGGAGGGCATGTCAGTTTCAGTGCTGTGAGGTCAGACTTTTTTCCCACGTTGCCTTTGACCTCAATCCTCACTTTTGGCAAGTCTGTCATCACGGTCTCCGATGGACACTAGTTTGTTAATTCTGCAACTGCGCAGGTTCTCCTCCTGTCGTTAAAGGGTCAAGACAAACTCTGGTTTTTATCTGCTGGGCTCCTCACTGTCAGCGTCACAGGACACAGGAGTTATTGCCTGTTAGCGTCACTTTAAATAATAACTTAATGACAGGAAGAGGAGGGAAAACTTGCCTTAGTCCCAAAGCGGGTTTACACAGAGTTTAAGATAGGATACACATTATTTGTCCCAGAGTTGGGAAATTCCTTTGTTACCGCAGTTTAAATCGACTTAACCACAACAAATATAGAATAAAGAGTATGTTGCTCAATAAAATTGAATACAATATGATCAAAATATTACATCAATAAGGTGAACTACTGTTATAGCTACTACTATTCTTATTATTCAACAACTGAACTTTTCTACTAATAATCAGTTGATCTTTCCCTTCTTTTAACTGATGAGTTATTTGTTTGGTTTACAAATTTAAATAGTTAGCGCTAGAAAATCGCAGATTGCAATTTGTTCTTGCGCCAACATATTAAAACCCAAATTCTTCCAGTTAAACTTTAATTTCTTGACAGAAAACAACAAAAAAATCATGTTAAAATATAGAGCTAGCAATTATTTGGCAAGAGATTATGTTTAACTTATGAAACAACATGGAACTTTTCATGCATGGCTAAAGCCTGCTAGTACTGGAGCTAATGGAGGAAAGCAATTGTGCACAAACTAGCAGCCGTTTAGCTGAGGGTGCAGCAGTTGATGCTATCTTGCAGTGTTTAATGAAGGAATAAACCACAAGGGAATGGAACTAACATACTGTTAGCATGGCTTTTTATACAAAAAATGTTATCCAAATTTTATCTAAAATATGTTAAAATTTAAAAACAAAATGAATCATTTTGTTTTTCTTTTTGGGAAGTCGAAAGCTAGACTTCTATTTAAGCGTGCTGATTGGTTGCTTAAGGACGAGACACGCCCTCAATGTCACTCATTTCCAAACAATAATTACATGTTAGAATCATACGTAAATTACAGCTAAAATGTGTACAAGCAGCTGGCTTGTCTGAAGACTCAAAAGACCCCTGAACCGTTTGATCTTTGACATTAAATCACTATTTTTAAGTCTTAATGAATACAATGTGGCATATATTGGACAAAGGAAGATGTCTAGAAAGAGGGTGACTATGTAGCTGCCAGGCAGGGAGAAAAGACGATGTCCACAGAGGAGATTCATGGATGGAGTAAAGGAGGACATACAGAGGGTTGGTGTGACACATCATCTGCTGTGGTGACCCCTAAAGGGAGCAGCTGAAGAGCAGCAGTTCAAGAAGATTAATCATGCAGCATTTAAAACCAGTGGGTGATGTTAGAATCCATTGTTTACTACAGGGTTTGGTAATGACTTACTGCATTACCTAATTAAAAGTAACCATTATTATTACACTGTGCCTAAAGGTCTGTCATTGAATAATCACAAAATAAACTCCTGGCTGATATAGAATTATATTTTTGCAGGAGAAATGAACTGAAAAGTCAGTTGAAACCTTTAAGACGCATTCCTGCAGGCTATACGTAGTGAGACTGAATTCTTTCTTCTTCTTCTTTTTTTTACTTGCCCTACTTTTCACTCTGCATTTAGTTAAGATTCCTGCGGATGCTGCAGTCCATCTGCATTGACTGGATGTTCCCCAACTCGCGTACATACCTTCTGCGTCTGTTTAAATGCACACAGTTCATTCCTGTACTAAGACAGAGTATGCACTGCACACCACCTGGTTTGGTGCAAATGTTGTCTGACATGCTGTGTCCATGTCCCTGTTCTCATAATAGGGGCGCTGACAGGGACTTCTTAATACCCCTGCCTCCTCTACCATCAACACTGCTTATATAACTCCACTTATGTGGCTCTGAACTGAAGTATTTCCAACCCCAACCATTGCAGACCCCCAACTTAACACACACACACCTCTGAGTGGCTAAGAATAAATCATCTAGCTGGAAGAGGCTGCAGTAGAAGAAAAGCTTTTGCAGAGGCATGCTCACACACCTCTGACTCTGAGGTTGTTTTATTGATATACCCACTTGTCCTTTCAAAATGGAGATTATTTGTTTTTGTTGTTGCTCCCCCCCTGCATCGCTTTCTCTGGTGTTATGCAACCTATGTTGGCCTTGATTCTCAGAGAGGGGAGGTGGAAGAAAGAGAGAGTGAGAGGTTTGGGACAGATGCAGGCCTGCTAATATACCATGGAAAAGTTGGATAGAGGCCTTGCAGAATGGGGGTATCTTCTTTAGGAAATGCCAGAGGGCAGGGCTTATAACTAAAACGGGCTACAGTTGTCTGTAATAATAAAATGAATATTCCTGCTTATGAAGTTATACTCTGATCAAACAGCCGCTGCCCTAATGAGAAAACGGTTGGAGTAAAACCAAAACATAATGGAACACGATCAGTTTTCAATTCCTCTGTTAGTCACAGCTTAAGTGAATGTCTTTACTGGGAGGAGGTGTTGTTAAGTCACCCTGAAATTGGCCAGTATCAACAACAGTGTAATTAGATGATTAATGCAGCTCATAATTTGCTTTTCTTGTCTCCATCTGCAGCTAATTTCCCCCCCAATAATGTTCAGTTATTGGCTTTTTAAATGAACAATGGTTGCTTTAAATAGAGGACGGGTTTGGATGAGTCACATGAAGTAATCACCCATGATCGGTGCCGCTTAGTTTGGCAGCTCACATTTTTCTGAACGCTGTATTTCACAGTTGCTACTGCAAGATTTTGGTTTTCCAAGAAGGCCTGCATTTTATGCTGTTGTCATTTGCAGCCGTGCCATCTTGCTTGCCAAGCTGTAGTAAATCTTGTGGTTTTGGGGGCGTCCGGGACTCCAAGTGGCTAGACTGCGTGCCACAAGTTGCCCCGCCTCTGTCCTGCAAACAGCTTTCATTTCTTTGCACAGGTGACTCTCTGCAGGAGAGTTATCTGATGTTGTCATCTTAGATGCATAAATATCCAGATGCACATCAAACCGTACACTCATTGACTCGCCCTGGCTCATGCAAGCTGCAAACATGCCATAATTTGTATCATGTTGCATATTTTCCCTTATTTTCAGAGCACATAATCCCATTACGGCTCTACTCCTCAGTGTCCATAAAGCTAATTTAAGTGTAGCCATCAAAAATTAGCTTAAAATTGAAGTGACTTACTCTTATTTGCTTAATAGCTTTTTTGAATGCAGTTCTAACTATTTCTTTTGACCCTTACGCCAAGATGTTTTTCTTTTATGCAAAGCTTTTAGTGTTTCTGACAGAGCTCTTTATATATGAGGAATAAGCTGCAGCCTGTCCTCACATCATAAACTGATCACTGTTGACCTAAAAGTAATTCACTTGGTCAGAGGTCTCCTTTGTGTTTCGCCTTTGAGCTCAGTGCCACATACTCGGGCTGCTGGTGTAATATGACAGTTTGACAGGTGACTGACGCAGGTAAGAGTAGCGTTTCGTTGTGTGACATCAGACTGTGCAGTTCTTCAGGCAGTCTGCCTCCTGTGTTGATAGCTCAGCATTAGCCTCGCTGGGAAAACGTCGAGAGGAGGGAGACAGCAGTGGTCAAGCTGATTGTAAGCATAAACACATGTAGAGCTTTTTTTTTTTTTCCCCCAGAAATCTACCTCAATACAGAATTCATGGTCCTGAAGTCTCTTGGGAGTTTTCCACCAACCGCCCACCGCAGGCAGAGTTACTCCACCAGTCGCTAAATTGGGCCATTCATCCAGAAGGAAGCACAAAAATGTCTTTGTTTGTCCGATGTGATTGCTGTGTTTGGTTCAGTGCAGTTTTACACAGATTTTAGAAACTTCCTCCGTAAATTTTTAAAGTCAGAGCTCCTCTCATTGGAAAATAAATGTTGTTATGCAACTGGAGGGTCACCCAGATGGATGAACCTGTGGTTTCCAATCCCACAGTGAGCTCATTAGCTAACGTAACAGTGATTTATCAGATCGCTCCCATGCATTTGTATTTGCTGTGTTTATTGCTGCCAACTTATGTAATCAAACAAAACCCTGACGAGACCAGAGCATGTGCACGTTAAAATTTTACTACAGCTACAACTCAACCATCAACACAACTGGATTTTTATGGCAAAGCAATCTTACCCCACTTAGTCATGGTTGTAAAGCTTTCAATCATTTTACATGATCGGCAGATTTTAAGTCTTTTTTTTTTTTTTAATGTTCATATCCTGAAGGTGGTCAACATATTGATGTCTTAAAAGTGTTTAATATTAATAAATACCTATTACGGTAACTTTTTTTTTTTTTTACACAGACTCGCAAGTTAACCAAGGCAGAGCGTCAGCGTTTCAGCGAGGAGGTGGAGATGCTAAAAGGTCTGCAGCATCCGAACATTGTGCGCTTCCACGACTCCTGGAAGTCGACAATGAAGGGCCATAAGTGCATCATCCTGGTGACTGAACTCATGACCTCAGGCACGCTCAAGACGTGAGTCCCTGTGTCCAGTTCCACTTTTGAATTAAACTGCAGATTTGCATGTGTATATGCATATAAAAGACTGCAGTTTATGTATAGATCAAAGTCCACAAACCTAAAAACGGTTCATTTTTGTCTCAAGTAGCTGATGCTCTGTTTCTAAATAAAACTTGCCAAGTCTCGCATACCAAAAAGGATATTTGTGTCATGTTTGACAACTTCTCCTTTAAGTAATGATGAAAGCTCTACTTTGGAAACAATGTTCTAGGAGCGAATTCAGGAAACTCACTCATTTTAAAACTTCCTCTTGGCTGTCAAAATAAGAGATTAATTATTTTGTAGCACTTAAAAGCTTCCTTTTCTTTCCGTGTTTTGATATGTTTGGACTGATTCTTATCCTCTTTTTTTTTTTTTTTTTTTTTTTTTTTTTTTTTTCTTTTTAGGTACTTGAAGAGGTTCAAAGAGATGAAGCTGAAGCTGCTCCAGCGCTGGAGTCGTCAGATCCTGAAAGGGCTGCACTTCCTGCACACACGCACTCCTCCCATCATCCACCGGGATCTCAAATGTGATAATATCTTCATCACTGGCCCCACAGGCTCTGTCAAGATTGGAGATCTGGGGCTGGCCACTCTCAAAAGTGCCTCTTTTGCTAAAAGTGTCATTGGTAAGTGTTAATTTAGTCTGTGTTTACCCTGCTAGACGAAAGAAACGGCATCTAGAGCATAATTTATCAGTTAATAATTATCTGAAAATATAATTTTATATGCAAAATGCCCTAAAATGGTCTTGAAATGGTGGGAAAATCCAATGGCATTTTACAGGCCTTGCATTTGTGTAAACACCCTCCTGTTTCTGCTTACTCTTATTTCCTCCGTACTCATACTACCATGAATGCCTCTGTTTAAATTCCTGTCTGCATTTTTAAATGCAGCATCATTAACCAAATGGCTTCTAATTTCACCTGGAACTTGCCCATCCCATCACTTACATCCAGGGAGTGCCAGCCGTCACATGCACGATAATAACTTGTTGATTTTTGTTGAAAGTGGCACTGATTTTAAATCATTTGGTCCAAATCAAACACAGTATGTATGTTGGGGTATTTTAACAAGAGGAACATTTTTTAACCTTTTTTATCAGCAAACAACATTAACAAGATTTTTTTTTTCTGCTGTTGGCTGTAATGATTAGTCAGACTATAACTTTGGACCAGAGTAAAGGACCTCAAGAGCTATATGCTAGTAATACCTGCTTTTCATGCAATGCCAAAATCTAAATATCTGCAAAACAAATGACACTTCCATCAGCATCCATTAACTGTACTGTCTACTTGGTGCTAATTAGCAAATGATGGCATGCTAATGGGAATTGGAAATTATATACATTAATATAAGCATGCGTGCCTTAGTTAGCAGCTGTTATTGCTAACAATCATGAATATTAATCATTAGTGACTTAAAAAAGAAGGATGCAGGTTAAATTTTATCTAAATAAAAATGTCAGGAAATTCTTGTTTGTTTATATTTCTTTAAAAACATCATCCCTGCAGCTCTGTTCCATTTCATGTTTTTCCTCTGGTCGTTCACGCCTCACCTGCAGTGGCGCAGTGTCCCAGCAGTGCTTCTTACCTCAAAGTCTGGGGATGGTAAATGCTGCTAAAAGGGTAGTAAAGGAAGGGGCTGCACCCATAAGATGAATTATGGGGAACTGTGCATCATGCAAAACTACTTTAATAGATTCCAGGAACAGAGTTGAATGGCTGCTTGTAGAAAAAGGATAAACATGGCTTGCATTGCATACAGCTTGTCCTGTGCACAGGAAAAACTGTCACGAGAAAAGACTGCACGTTCTTCACTTAGTTTACTATATGTATTAGGTCTCTTGTTCCAGAAAGTTGCTCCTGTTATTTTAAAATCTCTATCAACTATAAATAAGTATTAATTTTCTCAAAATACCCCATCTTTGAGCTGTTTGATTTGCAAATTTCTTGTCAGCTGAGGTTTTAACTGCATCAGGCAACTACTTTGAGCAGAAACTCTTTGAGCAGAAACTACCTGGTCATCTTGGCAGAGAGTTTAGCAGTTAAAAAGCTCACCTCATGTTTAAAGCGTGTTCTGATGCCATCAAAGTGGCAATCACACTGTCCAATAAGGGTCCTTGACTCTTATTATGGCTCATCAAGGATTTTAAATAATAGAACAACCTTTAAACCTTTTCTTCTCCCCTGACAGGAACACCTGAGTTTATGGCCCCAGAGATGTACGAGGAGAAATATGATGAAGCGGTGGACGTCTACGCCTTAGGAATGTGCATCCTGGAGATGGCCACATCTGAGTACCCATATTCTGAGTGCCAAAATGCCGCCCAGATCTACCGCAAAGTCACCAGTGTGAGTAAAGCAAAGACGAGGACTACCTCATTTCCCCCGATATTTAGTGTGATTGTCCACATGTGTTCTTCCGTGATGATGGAATTAGAGAGGAACCAGGATATCTTATTCGTACAAATAGAAATACGTAAAACGCACATGAATTGGGATTGAAATCATCATTACATCTATTAAAGGCTTAGTTTTGTCCATTACGACTTCAGCATGCAGAAGTGTACCGTGTACCATCCTGACACAGGATTGCACATGTTTTACTTAATGATTGCCAGGGTCTTTTACCAGCTGTATAACCAGGCCTGGTTGTTGTTTCACGGGAATATTCCCTTGGTAATGAAAGTGTTTCATCAGAAAACTGAGGTGACCTATTGACACTGATGTTGTTAATTTTCTGTCTGAACTGATTTAAGCCTTGCAGAAAAAAATATTTTAACAGATTGCAGATGTTTTTCTTTTTTTTGCATTGGAATTTATCTGTCTGACGATGAAATGGGCTTTAAAGAAGTGGATTTTGGGAACACAGGCTGATGCAGTTCAGGCTGTTCTTGGGGGGTGCCAAGCACATCAGTGACGCCACGGTGGGCGAGAGCAGGCGACTGTAGAATTATATGTTTTGGAAAATGTGTCTCACTCCTTACTCCACAAAGAGGCCTGTTTCTTTCTTGTGTGTCGCGTATGCAAAGCAAACAGCGTGTCTGACGGAGGCTGGAAAGTGAGAAAGTGACAATGCCAACAAGTCGTAGTGCTCCTGGCTCCTCCACAGACAGGAGCATTATGTGGAGAAGCTTAGGCATACATCATGATGAAAAAACACAGTCATTAGCTGCTGTTTTTTATGATTTGTTAATGCTTTGTGTTTATGTGGAGCTGAAGTCACCTGCTATTAAAAAGGCCCGCAGTAACCAATATAGCGTGACATATGAAAGGCAGGACAGACGGGCTTCTGTCGTGACTGTTTACAGACTCTCCTTGTTCACATTTAAGTATACACCAAGTAAATGGATAGAAACGTGCTTTCTCATGTACGCTATATAACCAACAGTATGTGGGTGTTTGTGCATTTTACACTTATTTTTATCCACTAGGACTTCCTTATTTCATTTTTGTTATTTTCTTCCTAGGGCTGTGCGATATGACCAAAATCTCATATCCCGATATAAGAATTCTATCGTCCGATAACGATATAAATCACAAAATTTTTAAATTTTCTGTAAATTCTGTGAATCTCGGGCAGCTCGACATGCGTGAATTGTTTCCAGCTGCGTGTCCTTTACCCGGAGTCGAGTGTTTTAACCGATGCGTGAAACTATACATTTTTAGACATAAGTTGTAACGGCTGCCGATTTCTTTGTATTTATTACACGGCGTTCTGCGGGTTGCCTGTTCTAACATTTGAGTCTAAGGTTTCTTTTTTAGCACCTGGCGGCTCTTTTTTACTTCTTATCCGTAAATAATCTGCTCTTTCACGTGATTCAGTTTATTTTGAAAAGTCTCAACAGGATCTTGAGCTTTATTGTGAAAGGTTTATGTGGAACATAAACAAGCGGACACGCGAAGGAGTTGCCGTCGCTGTTGCTAACGACAACGCATAAAAACAGGCGCTTGTCTGTCCCTAGTGTGGTTATATTACATATAAGAGAAAGAGAGAACTTTAATAAATGAATATAGCCACTACAGTAACCATCAGAACGATGAAAAAATATTGCGACACCACGAAACAAACGATAGCGTAAAATGAAACGATAGATGTTTTTATATCGTCATCTGATATATATCGTTACATCGAACAGCCCTATTTTTCCTGCTTTTTACACTTACAGTAAACACACCTGTTGGTTCAGCCATTAAAGCCCGCCCCCCCTTCTTTGTACAATTGGAGGCTTACCAGTGTCAGAAGCTGCTTCTTTCGTCCATTAAAGGTTTTTTGAACAGGCTGTTCTTCAGCATGATTAAATCCACATTTTCTACACTGGTGAGCAAGAAAAGAACATTAATCATTAGGATGGAACAACCCCACTCCATCTGTTTTAAGTGATCTGCTGTATATGCCCAATTTGAGAAACTGCTGGAAACAATGACGACATATCTAGCAAGATTTCCTGGGTTTTGTGTTTGAGATAAAGAACTTCTTCTGGGGTCATTAATGATGATGCTATTAAACTCTTTCCTGCCAGATGTTTAACCTAGCTGGAGGGATTTGTTCCACGACAGCACCAGTGAGGTCCGACACTGATGATGGCTGATAACGACTAGTTTGCGGTTGCCATTCAGGTTTACTTCAAAGCTTGGGGGGGCTTCTGTGCAGGCCAGTCAAGTTCTTCCAAAGCAGGAAAGAATTTTATTAAAGAGCTGCCTTTGTGCAGGGAGCCCTTGTGATGTTTGAGGAAGAAGGGTCCAAAGACAAATAAAGATAAATTATTACTGTATTAGATTAGAATTAAGTAAAGTGCAAACAGCAGGAGCAGTGTATACAGTTACACAATATGGACAAAAGTATTGTATAGTAGTATAACACCTCTTAATCTTAATCCTTAATTCGGGTGTATAAAACAAAGCAGCCAAGCAGTCCGTCTTTCCAAACAACTGTGAAACACTGGCTCGTTCTAAAGACTTCACTGAATTCAAAACGTTGTAACGTAATACTGTTACTGTTGTAACATATCAGTTAATAGAATTTCTTCCCTCCTACATATTCTGTGATCAGCTGTAAATGTAAAGGTAACCAAGTTCTGAGTCCCTCATCTCATATCCACATTAGCACAAAACCTAAAAAAAAAAGGAGCTTCATGGCATGGCTTTCCATGGCTGCACAGTTCCTGCAGGTGTAATGTACTAATGGTGCACCACTTTTGTCCATGTAGTGTAAATTATATAGAAACAAATGTGTATAGTAAATTGAAGTTAATACTGTAGTGAAGTCATAGTAGGAATAAAAATATGTACAGAATAAGATATATTTTTAGGTGGAATTTGATTTTGCTCTTATAAAACCAGTTAACAGAATTCATTCAGTATTTAAGGAAAGCACCTCATCAAAATCATTGGAAAGAATCTGTGTGGGGGACATGGTCATTATAATTAGCCTTTCATACCTTGGCTCACGCAATGGCTAATACGTAAAACATCTTCATCAATACAAAAAGTCCAGTTGCCTTCTTATCAAGCATTTGAGATTAACATGGCTCATATGACTGAAAGCCTATAGAGACAAACTAATTAACTAATGATAATGTCTTCAGATGGCAAGTGTTTGTATTGCAGTAATGTTCTGATGTCCTTAAATTTGTCTCTAATAAATAACCATTTCATCTTCATTATTACAAAATTAATAAAATCTCAGATAAAACTAAACATTTTTAAAGCATTTTTGAAGCAAACAACCAGTCTGGAAAGTGAACTGAAGAAGAAAAATGAATTAAAATTAGAAAACAGTAGTAAGTCTTAGGTATTTTGGTCTTATAGTGTTTTTCCTCCTTAGTATACTTGAATTTCTTGTCAAAGAATACCACACTTTACTTTTAAGACATAACCACGCTTTGTTCTCATATCTGTGTAAAATAATTTGGGTTCACTGATCGTTATGTTCCTAACAACATTAAAATCTGACCCACAAACCAAAGTTAATACAAGCGCAGTGTGTTTCTCAAGCTCTTATCTACATGTAGACTGCCGTCGCCACCAGAAAGGAGCTGAGTCACAAATTAGATTTGGATCTAGGGAAAATGGATTTACTGTCAAGGTGCCTACACAGTATGCGGACACTGCAGCAGAGTGCTTAAACAAACAAACAGCATGTCTATAACTGCAATGAAGCGCGCTATGTTTGCACTGGCATGTAGTTGGGATGCTTTATCAAAAGAATGGAAAAAAACCAAAAAAACCCACCAAAAATTAAAATAGGAATGGCGTTACTACGCTGTCTCTCCTCTCAAAGCTCTGTCATTTGCCCCACTTAAACAGGCAGCAGGAGTATGCATTGAAGTTCTTTGTGACCCTGATTAAAGAGAACCAGTTACATGCAGTGACATGTCTGTCTTTAAATGAGATAACAAAGTGTACCACTCAGCCTTTTACTGGTAAATCAAATTATTTAGGTGTTTGGGTGCATCATTGCATTGCTTTGGTATCTGCTGGCCAAATGACCTTGGTTACTTCCTTTCTTATCTTTGTTGTTACAGGACTTGGAGCTCTGCTGTAATCTGTACACAGACTTATGCACATACTGATGATAGCATTTAGAAGAACTCCCTTATTTCTTATTACTGAGAAGTCCTGCCCTAATAATTTTGCGATTAACTGCATGGAAACAGCAACTGTTCTGAGTTAAAAATAAAAATAAAAATCGGTGCAAGGATTGGTGTAAGTTAAAGGGAAAGGAAAGAAGGGAGAGCATTGCTGGGTTTCTTTCCATTTATCCTGAGCTCTTGGTTTTGTTCTCCTCTGGTGTTGACATGGTCGCAAAGCCAAATGTCATGCTGGCTAGAGGCAGATGTCACAAAGCAGACGATATATCAGACATGCGGTGCAGCCGGGAGCGGCTGTCACCGCTTTGATCTGATCGTCTCAGAAGAAGAACTGTGGGAGGAGATCATTGTTGCTAACTTTTTCTGCATAAAGCTCCAGTCTGTGTTCCCTCCTACACTTTTTATTAAGCCTAATAGATGAAATTAAACTCTGTGTTCTTATCTGTTTGCACAGGGCATTAAACCTGACAGCTTCTATAAAGTCAAAGTCCCAGAACTTAAGGAGATCATTGAGGGCTGCATCCGTATGAACAAAGATGAAAGGTAACAATGAAAGCACACACTTTATTATTTATATCATCTTTTCTGCTCTTCACTATTCTCAATTATTATGTTGCACTATGCTTCAGAAAGCACATACATGATGTCTAGAGGACTTTAAAAAGCCTTAAAATGGCCTAAATTATACAAATTTATACAAATTTAATTTCCTTAAATAAAGATTCATGCAATCACATCATAAAACCTTGTTTGTTTGTTTTTTTAAGAATTCATATTTGTATATCCTAGCCTCCAGATGGCCACTTGAAGTGGCATTTGCCCTCACAGTTTGAAAACCGCTGTGTTAAATTTAATTTTGATGGGTATTTTAGTCATGACTCCTCTAATGATTGAAGCACAAAAGCTGCTATTTTTCAGCACATTTGCAGTGAGGCTGCATTGTGGGCAGTTTGTACTCCAATTCATGCTCAGTACCGAGTCACAGTTAATCTCATACACACACAGCCATGACTGATTTAGTGTGCTGTAATCTGTGAATTAAGTGGACTGATATGAGCTGAACATCTGAAGTAAAAATCTTTAAATTACACAAAATCTCTGTCTGTGTGTCTGTTTGTTGCCTTGTTCACAGACTCCTCATAGACCTTTAACAGTTGACCAACCAAGCTTGGGGCACAGGTCATCTTAGGCCCCTGAAGCCTCTTACATGACATCATGTTGTTAGTTAGCAAAAGGCTGAAATTGCCCATTTTTAGCATTTAAGCATCTATAAGACCTTACAAAAGCGTTGTATCAGTTATTTCACAGCAGTAACATCCCATTTCTATACAAAAAATTAATAATGCATGATTATTATGAGGCCATTATGATGGTAGTGATGACAATTTAGCTAACAAGCTAAAATGCCCCCTTTATAGCATTTATGCACATGCAACACTTAAAGGAAGTGTACTATTGATTTAATTTCATGGGAATAAAATCTCATTTATTGTCACAAAAGTTGAAATATACATGCCTAAAACCCACCTAGTAACTAAAATTACCCATTTTTAGCATATAAACAACATTGACCAGATACTACTGTACCCATGGGCATATATTAGTGGTAGAAAGTGCATTTACTCGGAAGAAAGTATATTTTAGCATTTGATTTGGATTTCAATTGCAAATTAATTGCAAGTTACTTAATTTATTTTAAACAATTACAAAGAAAACTTTGTAAAAAGTCTTCAGTTCATCTCCTTTATATCTCCTTAAATTTTTTTGTTTGTTTGTTTTTAAACTGAAGTGAAACTAGTTTCGGATGTTATGAGAAATAACCTTGCAATAGCAACCCTAAGTGCGATAAAACAAATTACTTTCTCTCTATAGGTACACCATTCAGGACCTTCTGGATCACCCCTTCTTCCAGGAAAACAATGGCGTACATGTGGAGTTGGCAGAGGAGGATGACATGGTGAAGTCAGGCCTGAAGCTGTGGCTGCGCATGGACGACACCAAGAAGCTCCACGGGAAGTACAAGGACAACAACGCCATCGAGTTCCTCTTCGAGCTCTACAAAGATGTGCCTGAGGAGGTGGCACAGGAAATGGTAGGTTGGCACGTGAAGAAAGGATTTTGTGAGGTCAATATTTGCTGCTTTACTGACCAGGTTTGTAACAGATGTTGGTGAGGAAATGGAGTAACTGATTCCTGATCAGCAGATAGAGGCCAACTTAACCAACTTCCACGTGCTCTCTGCATCCCAATCTTCATTTACGATTTTAGGGGTTTTTTAGGTTTTCCAAATGAAGGGTGGATGAGGGTCCTCAATGCAACAAAAACCTAATTTGGACACTAACGTGATTAGAAAGACAACTAAAAGTGGATTCAGTTGTAATATTTCCAGGAGCGATTTAATCAATCTTTCTTCTAATTGGATGCCCCTCACAAACAATAGGTTTAAAGAAGATATGAGAGGGATACCTGTCCTATTATTGTGGCCTTAATATTCAAAGCTTGGTTATGTTTAACATGATAATCCTGAACTGTAACAGAATAAATGTGACAGAAATTAGGAAAAGCTTAATAGGTTCAATTTAATTAGAGTTGTATGGGGTTTGACTCTTAACCCTAACAGTGAAAGCACATGCACCTCAACATCATTGTGGTTCCTTTACCTTTCTGTTGTTATATCCACTGCAGCTCCTAAGGAGAACACCTTGTGTACTATGTTAAGGTCACAGCTCACCATTTAATTATCAGTGGTTTGAAATGGGAGAGGACGTCTCAGGAAGCAGCCGTAATCATGTCTTTAATAATATAATGGCTCCTACACTTATTACAAAACCTTATGTCCTCCATAAAGGTCACTTTTAATGAGAATACAAGATACAATTTCTTACCTGTTTACCTTTTTACGGCAGTTTTCATCAAGATCAAATTTGGTATCAGCAGGGGACATCGTGCCAGGCTAATCTGCTGTAATCTGACTATGTGTTGAGAGGTTGTTACAGACTCGGTGTCCCACTCTGCTGAACTGGATGTCATGGGAGGCTGTAAAAAATGCCAGATTGTCAAAAGAATGAGGCCTATGTGTTTTCTTTTTGTAAAAAAAATAAAAAATACAACACCGACTTTGCATGTTTATAAAACTCTCAGATAATGTCACAGCTTGCATAAGTAGGTCATTAAATGCAATAGAGCTGTATTAGCACTCATATGCATGTTGTAACCTGACCATTTCCCTGTGCGGTTATGCAGGTTGTGCTTGGCTTTGTGTGTGAAGCAGACTTCAAACTAGTAGCGAAGGCTATACGCGACCGAGTGACGATCATCAAGCGTCAGAGAGAGAAACTGAGGCGGCAGGCCGAGGAGAGGAAGAAGAAGCAGGCGCAAGAAGCCATAGAAGAAGAACCAGAGCACCAGGCCGCTTCGCCCAAGGTCAACGATGTTGTTGCAGCAGATTCCCCCATCCCTTTGACGCCATTGACACCATTGGCCCCAGTTTTGTCCCCCGTCACCAGCTCTGTGGACTCTGGCGTCAGCACCCACTACCCTGCAGAGCCAGAGGAGCCCGAAGTTGACCAGCACTTTCAAGTTCGCCACAACAGCCTGTCTTCTGCTAACTGTAAGCTGTCTGATATCACATCCATATACCGTGAAAAGTTAAATGTTTGCATGCAAAAGTTCACTGTGCAGTATGCAGGATTAATGTAAATGCTGTCCCTTATGAATTACTGTGGAGTAGAAGAATGAAATAGAAAAATACACAAGTACATTAAATTTTTGTTAAAGTTTTGTTTAAATTCTTTTATTTGCTGTTCTTAAACTCCAGAGACATGTTTTTCACTGCATTAGCTGCACAAGTGCGCTTCACACAAGGCTTTTCTGATGTCAACGCACGTGGGAGAGATGCAGAGAAAAGTGAAACTGTGGTTAACTGAATTATTCAGGCCCTGTAGGTCTTATTCCATGGTGTGCACATGTGCTGTGCTGAATGTTTCTCAACTTTTTATTCCTGTTTTAGAGACAGCCATCTGATCTCATTTAAATGTATCCAGAGCAAATCTATTCCACAGTGAAGCCCTTCAGATTTTTCTTGTTTATGTTTTTTGTGTATCTCAGGCTGGGGTCATTAGAGGTGTGTGCAAGAATGCACAGAGTACAGATTGTGTCAGTTTTTTAGGCCACAGCGGGTTATGTGCTAATGGTCGATGTGCTTTGTTGAAACAGCTGACTGCGAGACGGACGGCTATCTGAGCCCCTCTGGTCTTCAGGATCCGCTGGAGGCCGGCAACGTCGGCATGCCTGCGAACTCTCCCACCACACATCCCAACCCCCCCGCCGTAAACGGTATCTCCCTCCGCTTCCCCTCGGTAAGTGGTTTCAATAAAGAGCTTGTTATAAAAGGAGAAAGCTCAGGGTGGTAGAGGGGAGGATGATTTTGAAGACTTTACAAGACCGCCTTTTCATTAATCTCTCCAATCCAGGGCTGACACATAATTTAAAAAGAAAATTAAAGGGCAACACAAACCTTTTAAGAACAGCTTTAAATACAGAACTATAGTTGAGTTTTTTTTCCTCTTAATTTCAGTTTCTTAATGATAGTTTTTATTACTTAACTTAAACCTGTTACTTTATAAATAGATCCGTCAGTCATTGACGACTTATCACCAAGCAAGACATTTTTATTAATTTTGTTCGATCCAATTCAGTTTCACTTACATAGTGCCAATTCACAACAATCAGCTCAAGGTGCTTTATATTGTAAGGCGGGCTGTTCAACTCCAGGCCTCAAGGGACGGTGTCCTGCAGGTTTTAGATATCACCTGAATCAGATGATTAGTTCATCACCAGGCCTCTGGAGAAGTTCACGACATGTTGAGGAGGTCATTTAGCCATTTAAATCAGCTGTGCTGGATCAAGGACACATCTAAAACCTGCAGGACACCGGCCCTTGAGGCCTGGAGTTGGACACCCCTGTTGTAAGGTAAAGACCATACAATATTAGAAAGAAATCCCAACTATCAGATCTATGATCAAGCACTTGGTGACAGTGGGACGAAAAACCTCACTTTTAACAGGAAGAAACCTCTAACAGCACCAGGCTCAGGGAGGGGCATCTATCTCCCGCTACTGGTTGGAGGGCCCAGAGGATGAATTAAATATTTTTCCTCAAATCAGGATTTATTTTGTTTTATAGTTAGCGCATGCAAGATGCAATTTTTGGGCCATGTTGCTGAATAAATTTAGGTAGACTAAGAGTTTAAAGACATGCTAGCAGCTTGTGCCTCAGTCTCAATTGAAAGAAATTTTTCTAATATCATGTTCATTTTAAATCAGAAAGTGAAAAGATCTGTGATCATCTTTTTCCCATATTTGATGCATAAATATCACTTTTTCTAACTAATCAAATTTCCTCTAAATTTTGCATTTATATAGTCATAAAATCAATATTTTACAAGTTAAAATGTAAACCCCAAAATAACTCAAATTTAGTCATAAGCACTGAAATAACTGTTTTAGAGTGAGTACTTTCCTCACCTAACATCACATATAACTACAAAGAAAATGAACACTGTCTTTTTCCATGTTTATCTTACCACATTCCTGTTTTCTATTCATAGAGTATTGCTGTCTCCAACAACATAGAACACGGCAGTTCAAGGCCTACGAGTGGCTTCAACTCCCCCGTGGAGAGGTAAATCTGTCGAGCCTTTCTGTCCTCCTCACTCCGCCGTATTATTTGCTGTTAAATGAACAATAGAGTCTAACAATTCCTGCCTAATTTAAGTAAGAAACCTGAAAATCAATGGGAATCTTGTAGAAATGTATTTTCTTTGGATCCCTTCCTCCTCCACTCCTGTGGGCTTTCAGGCTTGAGGCTATAGACAGACTCTGCTGGGTTTTTCTTTGCAGAGAGGCAGAATGGACCCTTGAAGATTTCTTTTTTTGACTGTGTGTCAGATGTTGTAAAGGCCTTGTTTTCTGTGCTGGTGGGATATTAATGATACAATGTTTGAGCACAATGTGTTTGTGTGTGCGAGTGTTGTGGAGGATGTTCACCTTGGATTTAACACTTTAAGAGGATGATATATCTATTTTTTGTTTTTGTTTTTTAGTCTATAGAATATAAGAAAATGCTGTTTTCGTTGCTTAACACACCTCAAAATACACAAATTTGATCTAAAGTTGTGATTTTATTTTGAACCTAATATGTTTAATACAAATTATGTCATCTTCCAATTTATCAAAGCTCTTTTTAGGGTAAATAAAGTGATTGTCAGGCTCTTTCACCATCATCTTAGTTCCCTTTTTCGATTAGCAAGGAACAGGCTGTATCTAACATGTCTACTATAAATTGAAGCAAACATCAAGAGGGGATTGATTGTCATGTTTAGCATCCAAAACACACTCCCAGTTGCTTAATTCTTCTGAGAAAAGCCCTCGACAACTGACGACCCAAACTGCGTGTCACAAATAACAAAGAAAACAAAGGTTTGCAGCATCGCCACAGATGTTCGCCTGTTTCTGTCTGATTTCTGTGTACTCAGTGTCTGAAGGTGAACTAAAGTTACCTGTGAGATGGAGGTTTTTAAATAGGGACGGGTGGGTGCTGCCAGCCAGTAGGCCTGTAAATGTTTGCAGCCTGTGCTGGGGAGGTGGATGGAGGAGGGGGGGGTCTGTTACCACAGTGGTCCAAAAAAAGGCCCATGAGATGTAATTAGCTGAACCAAACCTTTTTATAAAATACCCTGAATGTTCTGCAGTTCTCTGAAACCTAAAACTCCTGTATAAATGTTACAGATCGCACCGACACGTTGCTTTCCCTGGATGAACACCAGCTTCTTGTAGACTCTGTTTGTACCCCAGAGACATGCCACTGTAACACGTCAACCCTTTCGTTGACAATTCAGAGTGTTTATTTCTATGTGCCAACATAATCAGTCCTTGTGGATATTCAGATCTCTACTTTTGTTCTAAATGATGAATTGGCTTTAAAATTGCTTTACAAGGAATTTATCAGTGGTTTCTTAGGGTGTGTTTTCTAACTCATATGATTTTTTTTTTTTTGTACAGCTACGCGTCTGATGTGACTTCAAGCCTGAGCGACGGCTACGAGGGCCTATCGGAGAAGAACGAGAAATCGGTGGCGAGACGAACGGCTGCGAAGCTGTTCAGGAGGAGGGCGCGCTCGAGGCTTCGCATCATCGGGGTACAATAAATCAAATGTTTGGTTTAATTACAGCACAGCAAAATCCTTTTTTTTTTTTTTTTTTTTCTGCACATAATAAACAAATAAATCAAACTGGCCTGAACTGAATTAGCGGAGGAAATTTATTTATGAGTGAGTGGTGAGGCACCACCCTAGTTATGTAACGTTATCAGTAGCAATGCTGCTCTTCCCCCAGCGACCGCAGTGCATTGCTTTTTTGATCAGGACATTCTGTGGTCGTTTAATGAGCCTGTTTGGATTGGCTGCAGAGACAAACGCATCATGGATAACCACATGTGCCTAAACAGTCTGCTACAGTAGAGTCTCATACATGTGCACAAACATGTTGTAACTCCTGCTTTTAGACATGTCATCACCATTGGTCCTCTCTGTCTCCATCAGCTCTCTGATAAAGTGGACCGGGTGGTGGAGTGCCAGCTGCAGACGCACAATGACAAGATGGTGACCTTCAAGTTCGACCTGGATGGAGATAACCCAGAAGACATTGCTGCTGTCATGGTGAGCCATTATCTGTGCTTAGCCATTATATATATAAAATTATCAAACGGTCATCTTTTGTTACATTTCTCTTGTTTTTATTAGGTTTTTTATAACTTTATTATGTTTATACAACGATATTTTTCTTTAGTCAACTGGTCACATGGCAGAAAATCATTGCATTTAGGCACATAGACATTGTCAAGATGATCTACTGAAGTTCAAACTGAGCATCAGAATGTCAGAGAAATGTGATTGAAGTGTTTTTGAATGTGGTGTGGTGATTGATACCATATTGGTTGGTCTGAGTATTTCAAGAACTATGGATCTACTGGGATTTTCCCACACAAACATCCCTAGAGTTTATGGAGGGTAGTTTGAAAAAGATGAAAAATGCAGACAGTAGCAGTTGGTGTGGGTGAAAATGCCTTGTCAAAGCCACAGGTCAGGAGCATACCAATTGCTCTTCTGCATACCTTGTTACATCTGAGGTCTGCAGAAGAGCATCTCTGAACGTAGCAGAAGACCACACCGGGTGCCATTCCTAACCTGTCGGCTAAAAACAGGAAACAGAAACTACAATTTACATCCCCAAAATTGGACAATGCAAGATTGAACAAATGTTTCCTGGTCTTGTGAGTCTCAATTTTTGCTACAACCTTCAGATAGTACTTTCTTTAGTGTTACCTTTATTGGGCAGCTAATGCTTAAAGACTGTTTAAAAAGACCAAAGTAGCCATTTGTATTTTGTTGGCTGCTGTTTTGAAGCCTTGTGCTTGACATGCTGGCCTTTGCCATCTTGGTTATTTCTCTTACATGAGAATTATAAGCTAGGATTGGATCTGACTGAGGAAACACGGGACACTGCACACTCGTCTATTTATGCTAAATGAGAATAAACTTGCAAAAATCAAGATCACGCTTTATTAACCAAGATTTGAACCTAGCAAATGAGACCATAAACTCAGTAGGAATTTCTTTACTGCAGTAATAAATCTAGTAGAAAGTGGGCAGTTTTGCCATCTGTACAATGTGAGTTCTTTTTGCAACCACAGGAGTCGCCCCCTACTGGGCGTTAGAAAGAATGTATGTTTGAGGCACTACTTTTTTGACTTTTATAAACATTATAAGTGCTTGCTACATAAGAGTGTAGCACTAGAATCCCTGAGAAATAATAATTTTGATTGATTTTTAATTTTGCTTATGATATCTGAAATTTTAAATGTTAATTCTACTTCATTCAAATTAGAAAAAAATGTGACAAAAATTAAACAAAGCTCAGCATTCATTTACTTGAAACATTTATATTTTAGCATTTTAACCACTTGATCTTTGCTAGCATACCAGTGACTGAGTCATTACAGACCTATGGGCTAAAGCCAACAATCCCTAGTTAAGGGTAGGGAAAAACTGAGGGTTTGTGATGAAAGTAAGAGTTCTTCTTGGGGAAGGGAACCTCACATGAAGGTGCGATGAGACAGCATGTGCAGTAGCACTTTTTGTTCGCTGGATGTGCAGTTTTCCTTCACTCTAAAAACACACTAGGCTTTTGTTTATTGCGTCTTGGCAAAGCAGGGACACTTGGCTTCACAACAGCACAGTGGTTCTCAGTAGAGGGTTTTAAATGAGTTGAATTATGCCATGTTGTCAGGAAACGATGCTACGCCTCAGCCCACAATTCAGACACACTGAAAACTGCATGAATATGCAAAACTCCTCTAAGCATCTGCTACGTTGTGGATTTCATAAACCCACAAAATAAACAAGCACTAGTGTACTATATTTACAGATTTATTGTATTACACGTTAAAAATATTTTATACTTTATTTCTTTTAATTAATACATTTTGGCACTTTACTCCACTTTGACTGATGACAGCTGTTTAGTTAATGTTGCAGATCTAATTGTTATATAAAAGTCATAACATTACACAGACCAGTACAGAATAAAATTTTAAGTAATTTTATATTAATTAAATAAAATCCCCTCCACTTAAAACTACTGAAAAATACAATCTTAGTAATGAATAAAGACAAAACATATTTTTTACACCATCTTCTAGACGAAGAAGGCTAAATTTCATTTTAGTGTTTACACAAATTATATTGATTATATGTCAGAACTGAAATATCTGGTGATGGCCACTCAAGAAGATGGGACTTCACAAACTAATGGTGATGTCACAGTGCCCACAACCATCTTTGATATACAGTCTATGTCTTTGTCTGTGAAAGTAAATAAAAAATTTGTTATTTATAACACTTCTTTTAAAAGCTAAAAAGTTTATTTATGACTGTTGTTTTTTGGCTACAGCTCCTAAGAACCTTATTCATTCTGCACTATCTGGCGAGCTGCTATCGAGAAACTCTAGCTGCTTTTCATAACCTTGTGGCACTTTTGAATTTGACTAAGTGAAGTATCTGAATACATTCTCCGTGGTCCTTTTGCCATCTAGGTGCACAACGAGTTCATCTTGCCATCAGAGAAGGAGGGCTTTATCTACCGCTTGGGTGACATCATCAAACGAGCCGAGGCACTGTTTGCCAAACAACAGCCGGTCCACTCCACTGGGCACCGACTTGCCCAGCCTGCATTGCACGGAGGGATTAGCTCACTGTCGTCCTCACAGGTCAGAAACAGCACCTGCCCCTTTCCATAAATCTGCGCCACAGGATTGTTAGCTGAGAGAAAAAGGAAGTGATTGTGTTTTACAGTGCTTATTATCATAAATTACAACATCTCTCTGCGCTGATCAATGACAGACCCATAAATCTGGGACAAATTCAACACTTCAGAGTAATGTCCTGTCCACTGGTAATAAAAAAACGTCACTGTCCACAGTCCTTCCTGAGGTTAGTCCTTTAAGATTAAAGGCTAAGTGCTCTTAAAACCACCTGACGAAGAGCTTTCACTTAAAGTGCTAATATCATAAAACGCATTAAATCATGTTTCCTTTTTTGTATTTGTTTCCGTAACCACAAATTGTTTCCACAACATAATGAACTTTCCAGCATATCTGCCCACAGGGAGTGGGTAAAATAATTTATGCTTGGATGAATTAAGCTTTTATGAATCCAGGTTTTGTTAAGCTGTAAAATGAACTGACTTGTTGGGAGCAGTGTAGTCCCTGTACAAGATGTGACCTAATGTGTAACCAGGTACAGCTTGTCCACTTATGGAAAAGAATCATCAGTTCTGCCAGGATATTTTCCACTTTGTGGAACACAAAGAAACAACCATTCTTGTCCTTTTGGTAAAAAAAAATATGATCATAGAGATTGAGAAATAATGGGAAAAAGAGGGAAGTTGGAGCCATAACTACTATTTATCATCTATTTATCTTGTTTCCACATGAAAATGGGAATCGTTCAATGACAAATACGCCTGATACTTGAAAAAGCTTCAAAAGCAAACTGTGTTAATGTGAAAGCATTTCCAGTTGCTGCTTATGGAATATTGTTTAGGAAAACAATGATGTTTTTCTTTTCTTTTCACATTAATATCTGGACAAAGATCTCAGGTTCAACAGAACACTTTAGCCTGGTTGAGTTTACGTTTATAGCTTCACTTTTGATGTGTATTGCATGCGTAGCCACTTCCCCTTACAGCTGAGAGATAATATGACTGCAGTCCTAAATTGTCAAGGGGAAAAAAAAAGAAAAAGAGAAAGAAAACAGACCAACAGGAAGTCAGGAAGAGACTGACAAGCCCAGAAACTCATCTGTCCACAGCGCCTCTACTCTGGCTCTTGTAATGCTGAGGTGGGGCATTGTGCCGGGACTCTATTAATAAATTCTATAAATGGAGATTAGATCCCTGGAAAGTCCTGCTTGTCTAGCTGTTCTTAGCTTACTCTACATACCAGTGGACAAACAAAACAAAAACAGCACTTGTGCGATTTCCGCTGTGCACTATTTACCATTTCACCAGGTTAGTTTAGCTTGGTGGACACGGCAGCACTGAAAAATGACTACAGAGGAGGCTGAAAACACCTTTAAAGGATGTAATAATATATAAATTAAATCCAAGAATAAAAATACTAGTGAGTTTGTTCACCCAGAACACACTATCCTGTAGATTTTGAAATGTGAAAACTTCAGCCCGCTGATGGCTTTAAAGCAAGATTGTCAAACTATTTTTACATCACGAGCCACATGCAGCCTATTTTGATCTTACGTGAGCCAGGCCAGTAAATATCCCTGTTCTGTCAGGACACAGAAGTCTAACTAATACTACTTATTCCCTGAGATATTTCAGTATACGAAAAAGTAAATGAAAAACCGGTCAACATGACTCTTTAGACTTAAATTGTAAGTAGTGAATTTGTAAAATTACAGAAATCTAATACTTATTTACTTTGGTGTAGTATGAATGGCCTTGGGGAACGTCTGTATTAGTAGAAAAAGTTGTAAAACTTATGAAAATAGTTAAAAAAAAAAAAAAAAGTCCAAACTGTCCCATATGGAAAAGAAATAGTAAAAACTTATATGTGATTTACTCATGAAAGTGGCCACTTTCTCATTACTTTCATACATTGTTTTAGTAAGTATCCAAAACATACAAGCTTCATTATATAATTTTTCAAGAGATCTTATATCTGTTTTCACTCTTATATGCTTTTCATACAAGTTTCACACAAGACAGATACAAACTTTACAAGATTTATATACATCTTTTCCATATGGGAGTATGCCCTCCTCCACATGCTTCAAATTTGATTTTGGCTAATGGGACTTATGTTTTACAGCCCTGCTCTAAAACAAATGTGAGGGGATTACAAAACTTTAAGGAAAGCAACTGATGTTTGCTTGTGTGCTTTTAACAGTCAAAATTCACAAAGTAACTGCAGTTTTACAATGTAAAGTGATACAAAATCAAAAGGAAATAGAAAGAAGGTACTCAAAGACACACATGTTTTTAGTTGACTTGTTAGAGCAGGGGTGGGCAACTCCAGGCCTTGAGGGCCGGTGTCCTGCAGGTTTTAGATGTGTCCTTAATCCAACGCAGCTGATTTAAATGGTTAAATTACGTCCTCAACATGTCTTGAAGTTCTCCAGAGGCTTGGTAATGAACTCATCAAGTGATTCAGGTGTGTTGACCCAGGGTGATATCTACACTCAACAAAAATATAAACGCAACACCTTTGTTACTGCTCCCATTCCCCATGGGATGGACGTAGAGACCTAAAATTCATTCCAGATACACAATATAACCATCCCTCCCAAACAGTGGTCACAAATCAGTCCAAATGTGTGGTAGTGGGCACATCTGCTATATTGAGATAATCCATCCCACCTCACAGGTGTGCCACATCAGGATGCTGATCTGACATCATGAGTAGTGCACAGGTGTACCTCAGACTGCCCACAACAAAAGGCCACCCTGGAATGTGCAGTTTTTTGCGCTATTGGGGGTCTGGGGACCCAGAACCGGTCAGTATCTGGTGTGACCACCATTTGCCTCATGCAGTGCAACACATCGTCGCATGGAGTCTATCAGATTGTCAATTGTGGCCTGTGGAATGTTGGTCCACTCCACTTCAATGGCTGTGCGAGGTTGTTGGATATTCGTGGGAACTGGTACACGCTGTCGTATACGCCGGTCAAGCACATCCCGAACATGCTCAATGGGTGACATGTCCGGTGAGTATGCTGGCCATGCAAGAACTGGGACATTCTCAGCTGCCATCTGTCCTGAACAATGTGAACCATGATTCATCCGTGAAGCGCACACCTTTCCAACGTGCCAGACGCCATCGAATGTGAGCATTTGCCCACACAAGTCTGTTACGGCGACGAGCTGGAGTCAGGTCAAGACCCCGATGAGGACGACGGGCATGCAGTTGAGCGTCCCTGAGACGGTTTCTGACAGTTTGTGCAGAAATTGTTTGGTTGTGCGAACCAATTGTTCCAGCAGCTGTCTGGGTGGCTGGTCTCAGACGATCTTGGAGGTGAACCTGCTGGATGTGGAGGTCCTGGGCTGGTGTGGTTACACGAGGTCTGCGGTTGTGAGGCCGGTTGGATGTGCTGCCATATTCTCTGAAACGCCTGTGGAGACGGCTTATGGTTGAGAAATGAACATTCAATGCACGGGCGACAGATCTGGTTGACATTCCTGCTGTCAGCATGCCAATTGCACGCTCCCTCATTGCTTGTGGCATCTGTGGCATTTTGCTGTGAGACAAAACTGTACATTCCATGGTGGCCTTTTGTTGTGGGCAGTCTGAGGTACACCTGTGCACTACTCATGATGTCAGATCAGCATCCTGATGTGGCACACCTGTGAGGTGGGATGGATTATCTCAATATAGCAGATGTGCCCACTACCACACATTTGGACTGATTTGTGACCACTGTTTGGGAGGGATGGTTATATTGTGTATCTGGAATGAATTTTAGGTCTCTACGTCCATCCCATGGGGAATGGGAGCAGTAACAAAGGTGTTGCGTTTATATTTTTGTTGAGTGTAAAACCTACAGGACACCGGCCCTTGAGGCCTGGAATTGCCCACCTCTGTGTTAGAGTCTACAGAAAAGTGTCATTGCCTGGATCTGATATCTTATGAGGACGTCTAACAAAAAATAGCTTGAGCTTGAAAACATTTATAACAGAAATCCAAAATTACTAAATGAGACTTTGAAATAATCAAACGAGGAGGGCCAAGGTCTAGTGTTTGTGTGGCCTGACACTCAGATTTGATGACTTGATGTTTTCCCTATAAGTCCACCATCTTAAAAGCAGTAAATTAAGGTGTTCTCTTAGGCACCATGATAAATGTAGACCTCAAACTAGCAGCAGTTCTCCAATCATGCCTCTAACCAGCTATTAGAGCTAATCATCAAACTTGTGAAGGGGCTTTGAAGTGAGAAAGGAGGCCTTAATATCCAATACAGGACAGAGTGTTTCAGTATTTTTGGAAGGAGAGACTGAATTTATCAAATGTGCTCTTTTACAGCCTAATCTGCACAATCACGCCCTGCCTCGAACACACTCGTCCTCTTCTCTGCCTGGTGAGTTTCACATGTTTTCTGATTAACTGAATTCATCCATTAAATGGCAAACTGGATGATTTGATGCTCTTTAAGAAGAAAAAAATGGTAGGAATCTGAAAGTGAATCAGCCTCTAATTCTAAAAGTACCATCGAGTGTGTGTGTGTCTGATATGCATGTGAGACTAACTTGCATTTTTTTTGCCTGTGCATGATCATTTGTGAAAGAGCATCGACTCATGCATGTTTGTGTCTCGTCTTAGACTGCAGTGTGGCTAAACCGAGTGCAGGGGTACGTGGCTTGCCCCCATGTCCCAATGGAGAGGTCTCCAGTGCAGACATTACTTCACCTGTGCGACCTCTAATACGCTCACAGTCTTTCCACAACGCCCCAGGTAAATGGCTCTCCGCCCCTCCCTCTGGTCCCTGAGCGAAGAGGCCGAGCATTGTTTACTGTTTCAGCACACTGAAAAATTGTTACAGTCCTTTGGCATAGAATAAGTCAAAGCAAAGCTCGGCTACCTCGTAAACCTCCTCCCCTCCTCAGGGCCTGTTCTTGGTATTGTTCAGACATTCGCATGGCGCCATCCGCCATCACTACACCTCAAAGCCTTCGTCTGTCTCTGCTTTGCAGCAAGGCCTCCTGGGTAATTACCTCACCTGAAGGGCGCTTTCTAGCTTTTAGGGAGCTGTGAATGCTGTCACTGTAAAGCATGAGTGTTCTCCACTCCTGTGATAGTCAGCAACATCTGCTTGCCAGAACAAACTCCTGCTGAATTTCCCTGTCAGAGACTCTCTCTCGAAAGGAGAGCCATTTAAAGTGCGCACATCCTTCACGTGCAACCGCATTGCCATCTGTACATCCTCATTCCCTCTTCTCCCGTGTTCCTTCTCTGCTTGACGTCTGGTGCATGGTTGCTTTTGTAATGCTTCTTGGCCACATTACAGAGTGTTGCCTAACCTGTTTCCGTCAGCTTGGAAAAAGTACAGGCTGGTTTGCATCATCAGCAACTGGAGGTGTGGTTTATAACTGTGGAGCCATTGTTGAGGTAGATGGCCAATCAATGGATGGGGCTGAGTATTGGCGTCCTAAGCTATTCCCCAAGGAGTGATGTAAAAATCTTGACTTCTTTAATCTGACAATTAGACCCACAGTCTTGTATACATACACACACGTGCATCCCATTTAAACTCCTCTAAAATGTTGACATGAAAGCCTCACTTGCTCCATTGACGCTAAATCCCTCAGGGCCATGTAAGCCTGGTGTGCAACTGCTCCAGCGATCAGATGCAATTATGGTCCGATGCTGCTTTAAACAAAACATCTTTGTTCACCATGGAAGCTCATTATTTAAAAGGACGGGAAACATTTACTCTATGCTCCTCATGGTGATTATATTGGCAGGCGGGGAGAGGGAAGATTCAGACTGACAAAACGAGGAGAGGAAAGAAACGATATGATCGAACCTAACTCACTGGGTTGAGCACAAACAAGATCAATGCCCCTAATTTTAATATATTTTACATGGTACAACAACAGAAAAGGTTTTCTAATCTAGTCTAAGGTCATTTACTTTATATGTTGAATTAAGCTCCGCTTGTCTCTTTGTGTTCTAGGTTCTCCTCTTCATAATCAGCACCATCACCGCCCTACATCTCTCCTGCCTAATCACCAGCAATACCACTTGCCCTTTATGAACCACACCCACTTTCCATTCCCATATCCAGGGTCTCCTGGTTCACCCAAGCCAGCCGGGATCCATCCTCCCCTCACACGTGTAGCCAGTAACCCCACCTTCCCCTCTGTTCCCTCCCCAACCCCAAACTCGCCGAGTCCTGTGAGTGAGACCCCAAGTCCTGTCAACACGGAATTTGTTAACATACCCCCTCCTGCCCTTCAAACTCCCACCATGTGGCCCCCCCACTCGCAGCCCCTTTTTTCCTTAGCCAATGTAATTTCCATGGCAATGAGCATGGCTCAGTCTTTTATCCCTCCTGCAGGCCTTCCCACCCAAGGGCTGCCCTCATATCCAAGCTTTCTCCCCCACCTACACAGTCATATGGCTCCACAGCCAGGTTACCCCTCTGTCTACCCTCAACCTTACCAGACTTCACCAGTAGAGGCCTCTTACCCTGCAGGGGGGATCCCAGTGCAGAACAATGTCTACTACAGCCCCGAGCATATGCCTCAAATGGATGGAGCTAATTTAACTCACAGCAATCCTCCACAGTGGCCCCATCCTGCCCCCCCACCATCCATGGCTTCCACTCCTCCTCCACCTCCTCCTGCACAGCAGGTTGGACTCACCGGTTCCCCCAGCCGGACCCAGGAAAGGAGTCACATGCCCCCAACCTCAGCCCAAGCTCCAGCTCCAGCTAAACCCAGACCAGAGGTCTCCAGTTCGAATTCAAGTTCAAGCTCATCAGATCTTTCACCATCACCCCCAGAGAGCCCAGAAAACACTGTGAGTTATTTTAGTTCTGATTCTTCTAAAGCAATTTTTAATATAGGAGTGATTAGCTCATTAATCTTTATCAATAATTCTCATTAGTCATTTTTATATTATAGTTCTGAACACTTTATATGACTGCAATTTCTTCCTCACTGCATGGAGCTAATTAGAATAATTGAATGTAAATTAGCATGTAGACGGGGACTTCCATCACACTGCCCTGATTTATTGGTTGAATTTTAAAATGGCATTTAATGAGTATCAGTCGTGTCTGGTCTGCTGTAGCACTTGTGCTAATAATATTTGTTCCCTCTGTTTAGTTATCATCTTTCAACAGCCGGTTGCACCCTGCTGTGCCAGCGAAGAATACAAGTACCCCCAAACCAAAAGCTTCTTCCCCCAAATCTGGTAAGAAATTATTTGCGTGTTCTCATGTTTTTCAAGCAGGTCTCTGCATCACTAAAAGGCCATAGCAGTGATGTTCAGCTTTGAAATAACTGGAGATCATTAACTACTTCATAAACAAACAATAATGTGATTAGCAACTGCACAAGCATAGACACCAACCTCATATAACCGATGCAGTTTTGTGTCATAGTTGCACTGGTTAACTACTAAAGAGTTCTTCTCCGGGGTACATAGTTTTATTTATTGAACGGGAAGATAGCAAGCTGTTATCCCATGATTGATTTAGAAGTATTACAAAAGACTAAAGTAAGTGTGATTCTGGGTTTGAAGTGGTTTTGAAAAGCGGTTCTCATATTCTGGCTAGAAGTTGCTCTCTGTTACCAGTTATAGTCCTACATCGCAAACCCTCATGCTAACTGTAACATAAACTTTAACCATAAAACCAACTCCTACCTTTCCTATCAGAAAGTTCTCACAAGATTTCCTAAGTACTACTCTAATACTCTAAGTAGTACTCTAAATCTCAACATGCTTTTATTAATATTTTTATATTTTTTGTCCTTGAGTGTTTGAGTGTTTAATCACTCACATTTATGGATGAGCAGTTTTGGAGAAAACTGCAATACAAAGTCTGCTTTTTCTGCAGAGCTATGCTTAGATAAGCACTTATCCAGAGAGTGTATCCTTGGAATTTTTCTTCTTTTCAAACACTGACTTTATGATTTCCTGCTTGTGACATGTTTATTGTACATGTGTGAATTGCAGCAAAACTCCCCAAGCAGGCACTGCTCTAACATGATGAATGTTACTAGCCAGAGGCGCAGAGTGCTAGAAAATAGCCTATTGTATGATATTTATGTGTACGTCCCAAACACGCACATGCACCTTTAGCCATCCATTTTGTTGTAATGGCTCAAAATACGTGATGGACCATTTGCTTTTTGAGTTTTTTCCTTCTGCAATCCTAGTTCCTTCTGTCTCTGCTGACATTATCACTTATTACTGGTGCCTCAGAGCTATTGCGTAAGCGCAAGTCTGGATTTAATGTTCCATTCAATATGAACACAAACGTAGGTGTTATTGCGGCCCGGCCCACTGACAAAGGCCAATCAGCGAGCAGCTGTGCCCATTAAAGGCTCTCCTCCCATGTCCACACCTGACAGTATTTATACCCTCCTCAGAAGCCCATATTCAACAGAGTCCCTCTGTTTTAGTGGGCACAGACCCAGACTCGTTCTGCATTTACTGTAAGGAGGACACTCAGTGGGCAAATCGAAGCACTGCAGGCCTTTTAAAACCCTAAATTGCCTCCAGATGTGAGCACATGCAGTCACACTTGGGCTACATTCCATCTCGTCCTCTACACCCACCAATCCGTGACGATTGTAAATCCCTGCGGAGTCACTTGTGGTTGTTGAAGGGTCTCTTAATTAAGTAGTCGGGTAGAAGTAGAATAGCAAGCTTGCCTCTCTCTGACAGAAACGGGAACTTCCAGTTAGCATCTGCAGTGATTTATCCCACTGCCAGATGGATGTGCTAAGATAACGTCCATGAGTTTTTACGCATCTGTTCGGTTCATTCTTTTTTTTTCTCTTGTTTTTTGTTTTTTATTACCCTTTAAAATAATTTTTACCTTTCCAAAAGCATGTATAAAATGAAACAATCACACTCAAACTGATATCTTTAAGTGTGTAGCATTTTCTCCTTATATCCCGGGAGTAGCCGGGAACCGATCTACCGACCTTCCGATTAATACACAACTCTACCTCATGCTCCACTGGCGCAGACTTCCATGTTGGAGAGCCTACATTTAAAGCTAGCTGGTTTTAAACATCCCTTAATGTGGCGAGGCCTCTATTCAAACATGCAAGCAGAGTAAAAGTGTGTAAGGAGACCATGTAAGCAAACAATGCTGGTTTAAACAGTGCTGTTAGCATTCAGGAGTCACAAAGCACACTGGAGAACACACTCTAACAAATTACAAACATTAAAAAAAGAGAATAAAAGAGGATGGGAAATAAAGGAATATAAATTTAGTAGAACAATGCAAAAATGACCCTTTTCCTTAAAGTTAAACACATTAAAACAAGTGGCATGAGCAGTACAAAAATGTAAAGTGTTAAACTGTACAGTGTAAAAAAGCTTATCTGTCATAAAACATGTTTGGGAAATGCCGGGTAAACAAATTAGCTGACTTTTAAATGAGTCCTGGGTTGTGTTTGATTGTGACTATCCATCATAGCTATATATCATCATATCAGCTGTCACTGCTATAATTTCAGACTCTTTAGAGGGAATTCACTTTAATGCTTAGAAATAACGCATGCTGAAAAAGCCTAATACACCTTTAGACCTGTTATTGTCTCAAGAAATATGTGACAAGCTTTTAATCAAACCCATGTGATTAGGAATGATTACAGAACAGTTGCTGCTGTTTAGTCTATGATTAGCTGTGATTGACAGCCTTTACATGTACGCATTTTCTTCCTCTACACTGCAGAAGTTCAGTCTGCATCAGTGACTGTTGGACGATTCCAGGTGACGCCCAGCATGGACATCCCTTTGCCTGATGCGCCTGCACCTGCAGCCCCCAAGCCCGCAGAGAACGGCAGCAGCCAGTCGGAGAGCAGCACAGAGGAGCAGGGTGAGTCTGAGGCGAGCCTGGCCACCTCCTTCACAATGACCCCTCCTCACCCACAACCCCGCAAAGGTTCTTCGGGAGTCCAACAGGAGGCTGACGGGCAGGCTGGATGGGCAGTGAGCCAGGAGCAGCAGCAGCAGGAAGAGGAAGATGAAGATGAGGAAGAGGTTATCGGGGAACAGCCAAGGGGGAGGAGGAGAAGCCGTCGAAGGGCATACAGCCTGAGCCTGTTGGGAACGTCTGCAGACAGTGGGCTCTCTGTGACGGCTGCTGATACAGAGGGGAGGCTGTGGGACGGAGCAGCGGACAGTCCACAGTACACCAATGCCCTTCACAATTTATGGATGATGACTTATAACCGCAGTGCTCCCTACCTAAGCAGTGATGACTCAGACAGTGAAGATGAGGACATGCTGGAAGAGCTTCAGGAGCTCAGAGAGAAGTAAGTGACACCACTTAAGATAGTTAAAGTAACGTATAACAAAAAAAGCTTTTTCAGGAACATTTTAAACTGTTTGCTTAGACGAGCTACATTATGAGCGTTCATATCTGGCATTCGTTTGAGAGCACTAAAAAAAAAATTGCATCCGTTTTGATATAAAGAATAACGAGGAAATGTCGAGATTTGCCAGACAAGAGAACAGACTTATTGTCTTTACTGTAAACAGATTGTGTTTAGATAAACCCCCCACTCTCCCAAAGTCATGTTCAAATTCAGTACATAACTTAATCAAAGACCTAAATTAAAACTCTGATTGAGTGAGTCTTTAAATGTGCTTCTTTTTGTCCTTTATCAGACATCTGGCAGAAGTTCTGGCCCTGCAGGCTGCCCAGAAAAGAGAAATTGAAGAACTATATAAGAAGATGGGAAAGGTCCCCCCTCCGGGCATCGTCTCTCCTGCTGCTATGTTGTCCAGCCGACAGCGCCGCCTCTCCAAAGGAAACGGTTTTCCTTCGTCTCGCAGGAACAGCCTTCAGCGACTGGAGATGTTACCGCTTCAAGGTAACAAAGAATATTCCCTTCTTTATTTATTATCATGTAAATATGCAACAGCTTCGAGTCTGAATGAGTTTTATAAGTCATGTACTGCTTTCCAAGGTATCATTAGGAGAAACTCTCTTGGAGGCAGCAGCAGTGGCTCGCAGGACAAACCTTTTAAAGGCGTCACTTTTGCCACAGACCTAAGTAGAATGGTGAGTCAGCACTTCCTTAACAAGCTTTTGATTATATGACAAATGAAACAAGGTGCAGGTATAAACAAGTTAAATTTAGCGATTGTTTGCACATTAATTAACATAAACACACAGGTGTAGCCATAAAAACGAATTCATGCCTTTATTTTAATGCCGTTTTTAAAACGCCATTAAATTCAAATTAAGAAAAAACTTCCAATTGAGATTCACATAAAAAATGTTTTTCCTCTGATGTCTCCTCAACATGAGAGTGAGCTGAAATGTAAACATGGTCCTCCAGTTGTTTGTTAATGTGAAAACAAGACAGCAAAAATATTATTGTTGATCCAATTTAGATTGTCCCAAGTCTAAACCAATAAAGCCTGAACCACCAAGAGTAATCGTTATTCTCGTTGTCTTGACTCATTGGCCTCATATTTGTCACTAAACTTAAAAAAGCATCTTTCCATTAAATCCCTGGATCTAAAATATAGTCTGTATGCAAAAGATGGCCAAAGCTTCTGGGTCTGGAAAGTAAGGCCAATACTGAAGAGCCTTAAACTTGCATTATTTTTAATGGCCAGCAGGGGGCAACTCCTCCAGTTGCCTTCCCTTGATGTCTGACATCATGAAACACTCAATTACAAGTTTTGTGTCTTATTCAGTACAATATGATGTTCATTTTGTAAATTATAATACCACCCAGAGTCAGAATAGAGGATAAACCTGAGTTGCATCCATTAGTCGTTAGCCTACCAGTGTGCAGCGTCCATCGGTTTCTCAGATGGTTTTGAAAGCCAGCTTCCAAACGGAGCCTTCACTTGCTAATAGGTCATGACTGCAAAAACACTTAGCTTGAGGCTTCAATTACTAATGGGTGATGTCACAATTGCCACATGCATCTTTTATATGCAGTGTTTAGCTTAAACTGTTACATCCATTAAGTCAGCTAATGTGTTTTATCATCCAACTGTTACTGCTAACTGTTTCAACGCCTATAAAAACAGACTCAAAGACTTGGTCCAACAGATTGAGTTACATTTTCTGACCTGAATGTGTAGAGGAGGCCAAAATGTCAGGAGAGGTTTATACTCTGTAGACACCCTTTAACCATTGTCCTCCATACACAACAAAAAAAGCATTGTTCTAAATCGTATTCTTATATTTCACTTTTCTAGTAACAAACTCCAAGCCAAGCACGCCGTTATCTGGACTACCTCATCTGAAGTGTGACTGCAGTGGTCAAACCTGTCCTGTAGGAGGATCGCTTTAACCCTGGCACACCTATCTGCAAACTGCTCCCTGTCCGCCCATGGCCACTTACCTCAAATGTATAGAAACTCATCACCAGTGGAGCTGGATTTACACAGGAAGTGTAACCTCCAGATTTCAGCCCATTATCTCGACCTGGTGAACTTGTTGCAGCTGAAGCACAGAATAGCAGCCAAGTGACACGTTCGTGTCTGCTCTTTGTAAATAAACTGTCAGATCCCAACGGTTCGGACGTAACCACCTTCATTCCAGGCTGCCGCAGTGCTCTGCACAGTGTCACATCACGACATTATTTTTATCTTTTTGCCTGAACGCAGTCAAGCGGCGGTATGCCGTGCCGCAGCTGCCGAGTTGCAGCACTTTACCACGATTTTGACGCAGAACGACAACAGTTGCTGTTTTCCTGCTTGTCTGACTCGCTGCTGTTAACCTAGTCTGGAGCACAGAAATGTGAACAGTGAGACTGACACACACACACACTGACAGCTATTACACACCTCACTCGCTGTAGTTTGGTAAAGATGTCTCAGCAGCTGCACAGTGAACATACTTTTTTTTTTGCTAGAACTGTGATCAATGCCTTCCAGGGGCTTCATTCAGTTATTTGTTGTAGTCTTTATCTGGCTTCCTTTAGTGATTTGGACACCTATGTTTTCTCTAGACTCAGCTTGAAGACGTTTGACCGCAATTTTCAGATGTAGTGAAGGTGATTTTTTTTTTTTCTCCATTGGACAGCTGTGTAGTAAGATATCGTGTCCCAACAGGTGAGAAATGTTGTACGATTCTTCAGCAAAAGGCAAATTTAGTTTTAAACACATGGGCAGAAGTTCAGTTAAATGGTGCACAAGTGTAAAAATGTTACATCACTTTCAAAATCTGGTAGCTGGTTTTAAAAAAGGGGGGAAAGGATGGTGAGAAAATCCACCTAGACTTTATACTACTGAATTCCTGTTAACTGTACATGTGTATATAACGGAATTCATTTATAGATCATGTTTACAATTTAGGAGCAAATTAAATACTTCATCTATCTTAATCCTTTCTCAAACAAAAGTCTGATTGTTGCTTATTCCAGAGATCAAGCACATTGTGCACTTTAAGTCCACTTGTAGTTCTGTCATTTAACACAGTTGTGTGTAAAACTATTCACTCAAGCGAGAGCTAACGAGTTTTCCTGTCATTTTTCCCCCCATAGATGATAATCTCCCGTTTCATGTTTGATCACAGACGTGATGATCTACCCACCCATGGTTTTAAACAATGTCTATTTTTGTGGGGTGTAGAGGAATCAGTCAAAGCTGTGAATCTGTAGCTGTTGCCTTAAAATATTCCCATCACACACTGAATTTCTTGGCACCTAAACTCCCAAATCTTAATATATTAAAGGAAATAAAGTTTCTAGTTCAGATTTGAATGTAAATATATAATTGTATTGCTTCCTGAAGCTGCTGTCCTGCCATGCTGAATCTGTGCCTTTCCCTAACAATGTCTTATTTGCTCTTGAGATTTGGTGGCTAGATCCAATTCCATATATTAAATTTTGATGAAAATAAATGCGATCCTAAGTATTACGGTGTCTTGTGTCATGTTTACTGCTTTCTGTCTCGTTCTTAAATAAATGGTAATACAGAGACATAGCTGTTAAGCAATCTAATACATGAGGCTTTTATTTCATAAATCAAAACTTTATTAGCATAAATAATGTTATTTTTGCAGTGTCACTGGCATTCTCTATTGTTGAAGGCCACTGTAGATTTTTAAGTCATTAGCTGACTGATATTTTTTTATATTCCCTTTATTTTAATCATTGCTGGAAACATCAGATAAAGGGTGCCGATTGTGCTACAGTGTAGCTTCTAAGGTCATGATCAAGTCAGCGGATTGGTCCTTACCACTGACAGGAAACTTCTTCAAAACTACACCGCACTTAGTTTTAAGTCAGCCACACAATTGCCTTCAAATCAAGACCAAGTCCAGCTGTCTCAACATTACAAAAAAGAACACAGCAGCCATGGAATATGATCAGTGGCATCATGAGTCCTCCTCCTCGTTAAGTGCAGGACAGAAATAAAGTCCAACAACAAGCAGATGACACTTAAATCTCAGTTGGCACCGGTTTTTGGTCCCTGCATTCTCGCACGCTTGGCCTCCTCATCGATCTCATCCATGATCCGCTCCTGGGAGACTGAGTAAAATGTGTAGCCGTCTAATTTGGAAGCAAGTGGTTAAGAGAAATATTTGAAAGCATGAAAACAAAACAAATTTACCGAAAAAACTAAGTACATCCCATGATTAAGTAAGATAACTTCATTGTCCTATTGGATGACCCAATTCTGAAGAAGAATTATCTGTTGGGACAGATGGCCTCAGATTTGACACTAGAATACTTATACAGGGGAGTTCATGATAAACTCAATGATTGCAAGGTGTCCGGATCCTATGGTTGCAAAACAAGTCCAAATCATCACACCTCCACTGTGCTTGACAGCAAGGTGTTTGTACTCATATGCTGTGCATTACGGTCAATCCACGTTGGTCTCGTCTGTCCAAGGGACATTGTTCAAGAAGTCATATGGTTTGTTCAGAAGCAACTTTGCAAACTTATCAAGTGCATTTGATTAGCAGCACCTGGCTGCTACTGACGCGCTTAACTGCCATAAGAGTGGATGAAATTTTCAGATTTCGACATCTGTCATTCAAAATGCCAGTGATGCGTTCAGGAAACACGTTTATCCCAAAACACAAGAGGAAATATCATTGCTTTCAGTTAATGGTTTTCATTGATCAACAGAATAATAAATTCCTTCAAACGAGGTGCTCCGGAGGCCAGTTTTCGCTGCCAGTTTCAGGGTTGGTTAAATTACCAACCCTGAAACTCTTAATGAGTTCTCTTTTAAACGCAACAACACTGATGTTTACCTTTGGCAGTACACTTAAATCGTTTTACACCTACCTGAGCTAGCTGTCACGTTAGCATTCAATGAAACTGACAGCTATTACTCTAACTTAAGTAAGCCGATACATTTGCGTCTGTCTTAATACTTGGTAAACGAGCTTAACCTAACTCCTAAACAGAGGACACAGCTTAACGTTAGCATGCTACGCTAACGTTACATAGTTCCTTGCGTTGACGTTTGACAAGGATACAAATTCCCAACACGAGCGCACCGATAGCGAGTCCCGTCACCACGTTTCGTGTCCGCAGCTTCGACGTTCTCCTCTTCCACTGTTCCAGTTCCACCTGTCTGATAAAATGCATTTGATCTTGAGAAAGACCCTCTTTGGTTGGGTCTATCCTGGCTGCGTATGGAGAGTTGGATTTCTGAGGCGGCGTTTTGTCGGCCATATCTGCACTTCGTGAGGTTAGCACGGCGCTTTCACGATTGTTACACGCGCCGCTGCGTTCTAAACACTCAGCTCTGTCAAAGCGCGCTGCGTGTGTCCTATCCGGGTGTTATCAGATCTGCGCTGAGAGGAACCGCCAAGAAAACAACGTGTGCAACTTACAAATGAGTCGCAGAGGTAGTTTTTGGTTCCTGTTAGAAGACGGTCCTACGGGGGAAACATGCGGGAATAGCGCCATCTTTTGGAAAATATAAGACGCAGGTTATTTATTTATGGGTGTCTAGTTTTGAAAAAGTAAATAAACTTAAGAGTAGTCTGTCACATAAATGTAGCTGTCTGTCGTGCTCAGAGTAAGTTACTGAAGTTAAAATGGCGAAAAGATTATTTTTTTCTCCAAGTAAAAGTAACGCAGCAGGTGTAAAATTCGGGAAGGCCTCTTTTGACCTACTGACTGATTTTCTTGTAAATCTGGACAAAAGAAACAAAGATAACCTCCCGAGTTCAACGAAATATTGCGGGAATTTCAAAAATAAGAGAGTCATTGGTGAGTATTGCTCCGTTTTATTATTTTGTAGAAAACATTTGTTTGTCTTTTATTCGTAACGGTAATTTTAAAAAAAATATCGCAAGATTTTCAGCTGGAATCACGTGAATAACCGTTTTTCTTTCCGTTATTGCTAACTGAAATTTATCAATGAGCCAAGTAGAACTTGTTTTATTATTATGTATTTCTTTGTTTTTATTTGGATTTTTTAAACCTTCCTCCAGATGTCTGAGATTTTATTTTTATTTTTATTTTTTTACTTTTAGATGTGGTTGTTTTGTGTTTGCCGTTTTTTGTAGATTTTTTTAATGCTCACTATTATAGAGTTTTATTTGTTTGTTTTGTTTCTTAACATGCCTCACATATTGTTCTTTTATATTTTTTGTATGTCGTTTTCTCCTTTCCTTTTTCATTACTTTAGTTTTTGTTATTTTATTTGTAAGTCGTTTTTCTTGTTGTTGTTGTTGTTTTGTAATGGTGGGGGAAGTTCAGAATCTGACATTATCAGATCTGCTTTGAGAGGATATAGTACACAAATTTGGGGTATATGAAGTATGCTATGTACTTCATATATCCCAAATTTGAGAATTTTCAGTGATTAAAAACCACCAGGTCATTACATACCCTATAAAATAACTTAAGTGAAATCATATAACAAAATAAAACATAATAAGCCAGAACAAGTGAGTTCAATAAGAAATAATAAAATATGATAATTATAATAAATAAAGAAAATAACTCAAACAACTCAAATGTTAAAAATCAAATTAAGTTAAAATCTTAATACATTGAAATAATGTGACAAGAAAGAACATTTTAATTAAATGCTATTTTTGAAGCTGGGAAAAAAAAGTTTTAAAAAAAGTTCAGTAAATTCAATAAAGCAGGGGTTTCAAACTCCAGGCCTCAAGTGCCAGTGTGCTGCAGGTTTTAGATCTCACCCTGGGTCAACACACCTGAATCAAATGATTAGTTCATTACCAGGTCTCTGGAGAACTTCAAGACATGTTGAGGAGGTAATTTAGTCGTTTAAATCAGCTGTGTTGGATCAAGGACACATCTAAAACCTCCAAGACACCGGCACATAAGGCCTGGAGTTGGACACCCCTGCAATGAAGCAAAATAAAACAGAAAAAAAATGCTTACTAAAGTCATTTAAAAGAAAAGGCACAGCAGAAGTATTATACCATGAAATATACTGCTAGCATAAGAGAGAACAGCTGGCTCTCTGCTAGACAGATGTGTTGTAAAGAGCCACAATACAAACACAACACTTTGTGAGGCCAACTGTCTTTTTATAGTCTTGTAAATGCCCAATAAACAAGTGCTAAAGCAAACTGAGGCTGGCTTCAATGACAAACTTGTCCAAACTGTCAAAAACTAAACTAAAATCATTATGTATGTTTGGATTACTTTTATTTAGTATTCTAAGTAAAACATCTTTGGTTATGAAAAATAAATTAATTTATTAATTAAACTAAATCAGGTTTTTAACATGTTTTTACTCCTATAGCTGTTCATTTAGTTTTACTTAACTGTAGTGACCTTGTTCAGATAAAATAATGTTAAAAAATAGTCCAGATGAAAATAATGCAGACTTAAAGTAAAACTGCAGCATATCATCCATGGTAGATAACCTACTATAAACCACTACTGTGTACACACCAGACTTACAGCAGAGTGTCTTTTGTGTATTTCAAGCCTTTGGGGTGAAGTCTGTCTTTTGTCAGCAGGTAGTGACTAAGCTGTATAGGACTACCTCTGAATGGCCCACTAAGCCTCATTGCACCCTGTAATCACTCTGAAGTCTTTCATACATCTGGAGCTGTGAACCCTGTCATTATGGAGGTCGATTCACAATATAAACTCCTTGAGGCAGCTGAGTTTACCAGCTAGGAGCATCTCCGCAGACAAATCCTGTGAGAGAGGATGAGGAGGAGCAATGGAAAACAGTGATAATAACTTTTAATGAATCCATATGCTTCCTTGTAGCCCACAAATCAGCTAAAATACCGTTTATATGGCTAGATTTATGGAAGCAGCCTTGTGAGGAGTGCTTATCAGTGTTGGTTTCACCTGTTATTGTCAAATGTTGCAGAGATGAGGGCCTAAATGTAAAGTCTCAAGGAGGCAAAGGGAAACTTAAAGCAAGCCATTTATTGAGTTGCTTTAAATTCAAAAGATGCAGTTCAAAAGGAAAACTGAAAACTAACCTGCTAAAACCTTAAATCTAAAAACACACTAAGGCTGGAAAGCAGGTAGAGAAATGTGAGCAGACACTCTGACTGTATATACACAGGCAGGCAATTTGGAAAGGTAGAGACAGCTGGGGAGAAAGACACAGCTGAATTAAATCACAGAGTACAAGAAAAGGGGATGTTAAATTAAAACAGAAGGTGGGATGGCTTAATAGCATAAAACACAAATACATAATACACAGAGGATGCAGAGAAGTTAATAATAACTTCCAAATTATATTTTTAAAATGATGAAATGCAAGGTTTGAAACAGAGATACAAAAAATGGACAGTTTATTTCTAAAACTTGTCATGTTTGAGTCATAATACCTCAAATACCTTTACATGTACATGTAATGAATGTGGAAATTGTACTTTTTTTTTCTTAAGAAAGCTTAGCTTGTTGTGTGAATGAACTGTCCATAATTTTAAGACTAAAGGAAATGGAAACATTTGGAGATTTTTTTTAAGGTTTATTTATCTCACGGGTTATGTAACTTGTAGTGGTCCAGCCCACGTGAAATCAAATTGGGCTCTATGTGGCCTATGAAGTAAAATGACCTTCAAACTATTCCCTTACTTATTCTATTTCTTATTCTATTTCTAAGAATAAGGACCCCACCCATCCTAAACTCATTTTGGACACTTCTATCCATAACCTTATTCTTTTGTTATCTATCCAGATCTAATGAACTTATGCAAGGGCTGGAATGTGGATTAAAGCTAGAACTATTTTCCACATCTTCAAACTGTATCTGCAAAAACTGGCACCCAAATGTGCATGATGCCAGGTTTATGCTGGTGCCAGCGTGACAGGATGTGAACATTGATGCTTCCCCCCTCAGCTTGATGCTTCTTTTACTCGTCTGATTTAGATCTGAGAAGAAAATAGTTCCTCTATGCAACTCCACACAGCCACAGACCATACAAAGGATAGTAATAATAATGTGTTAGTCCCCGTAGGGAAATTACTCCTCTGCATTTAACCCATTCACCCAGTGAGGCAGTGGGCAGCCACCAGTGCAGCGCCCGGGGAGCAGTGTGTAGGGACAGTACTTTGCTCAGGGGTACCTCAGCGTAGCTGTTCAGTGGATTCAAACCCCTAACCTTCCAATCATGGGGCAACCACTTTACCTACTGAGCTATCCCTGCCCCTTTTTCCTTTTCTTTTTTTTTCTTTTTTAAATAATAATAGACATAGCTTTGTAGGATTAAAAAAAGTGTGGCCAACCCAGAATTCCTCTAAACCTGCAAATTTAAATATCCATAACAATTTCTCCAGCTCCAAAAAGACTTTCAGTCCTATAGTTGTTTATGGGGAAAGAGCTCTGATCTCTGTAAATAACTTCCTGAGGACTTTATGGGCTAAACCACTAGGTAGACGTCTCTGCAGCTAAGATATCTTAAACTGGTGAACTCACATCAAACTAGTATAGATTTCTAAACACCACTACAGGTCAGAGGAAACATTGGTACATTTGAATTTGGGGTTAAGTGTCCCTTTAATAAACACATGACGTTGCTTCTAAATTATTTTGAATGTTTTATGTTTTGCTCTTGTGCCTTCCTCTCCTGTGTTACTCAGAGTACATCTTACTGATAACTAAAGAACTGAGACTGGATCCACTGGTTGGTTACCACGCTGTTGAATTACTTCAAAGGTATGATTGAGCAGCACATGTAACTTTCCCTGTTGGTTACACCCTGTGTATTACTGGTTTTAGTTAGCATACTGTCACTTATAATAATAATTATAATCATTATCTTTGCCAGGTTCATGGTCAAATACATTGAAGATTTCATAACCGCACCCACACCTAAAGGTGCAACTTCTAATCGTCCGAGAAGTTATGAGGATGCTGTTTATAACAAACTGAAGGACAAATTCCCGCTGATCATCTTCTCCTGTGTTCAGCTTGCGAACAAACTGTCTCTGCACAGTCATGCAAGTTCTGCCTTGCCAATGATTACTTATGTCAGTTACCCTGAGATCGCAAATAGAATAATCTTGCATAATTCTTCCACACCTTTTGCAGATGATTGACAACAATACTGCTGTACACTTTCTACACTCAGTCGACTGCACTGTATCCAAACAGGCTCTCCTGGAATCAGAGCTGATGGTCTTGAAAGGGCTTAAATTCAGACTAAATGTCCTCAACCCACTGACTTATGTGGAAATACTTCTGGAAGTTCTCGGTAAGGGTCCATGTATGCACAGAAAAGTTTATTACATATTATAAATATTAATGTCAGTGCTTTGAGATGATTACATAAACTCTTGTAGGACACAATGAGCCATCAGTCCCTATGAAGCATCTTTATCACTACTGCCACCATGTTCTCCAGTTTATCAGCCTGGAGAGGACTGCCATCTATGAAACCTTGTTAATGACAACCACTGAGCGTGTCAGCCCATCCAGGGAACAGAGGTATTAGATTTGGCTTTAAGAAAATATTTCTGATAGATGGTAGAATGGACATGCAGCTTTGGAGAACATTCAAAGGTCAGATGGTCCAATCACTTTTCTGTGACCTTGATGGGAAATGTCATGAGATCCATTAAAGATCTGAAGAATTCATAAGGACACAGGGAAAGAGAACCACAACGAACCTCAGAGAATCTGACTGCACTTGCATTAGCTGTTTAATAATGTGGTTTTTGATGTTAAGACAGCAATGTGCTGAAATCTGACTACAAAAGATTCATCCTATATAATTTGCCCTTTTCACTGTCCTTATAATATTGTTTTATACAGCTCATAATAGAGAAACTGTGAAAATATGACTTCATTACTGAAGTTATAAATTTAAATAAAAAGGAATAAATGGCCTATAAAGTGAAATGAAATGTTTGTTACCCTGAGATTACTTTCTCAGCCCATCAGCTCATATTTCCAGATCCAGTGTAATTCCTGCCTATATTAAGGCTTTCTCTGACTGAAGTTAAAAAAAATTAATCCCAATCATAAAGGTTGGCAATACAGCAGCAATTAAACTGAGGACATAACTGACTGAGTTAGCAAACTGAATTACAATAAACCTTAAATAGCTCATGATCTTGATTTAAAGACCTGTTTCCTTTTTTTTAACCTTCTTCAAAACTTAGCAGGTTATGGCACAAAGTTGAACGTACAATTAAACAACATTTACATGATCTGCATTACTTACATCATTCATATTGATCCTTTGGTCTGATGATGTATTGCTGTGAATTATGGGACAGCTTTATCTTCTTTCCTTTCATAAAGCTTGGTCTGGTGTATTCTCTGCTGAAGGAGGTAATACAGGAAGCCCTGAAGCGCCATTCTTTAGTATTTAGAGAATTCGACCAGCTCTTTTTTTGGTTGTCACACAGATACTTCAGTGTCACTTCACTTAATTCAAAAACCTACAGCTTGTCAGGCCAACTAGTGTTCATAATAATTTAGGATGATGCGGTACAGTACACACTGGACAGGTCAGCAATCTGTTGCAGGGCTAACGCAGAGAAACAGCCAACCATCACGCTCACATTCACACCTACAGTCAATTTAAAAATACCCATTAACCTAACCCCATGTATGTGTTTGGACTGTGGAGGAAGCCAGAGTACTTGGAAAAACCCACACAGACACAGGGAGAACATGCAGACTCCACACAGAGGCCCCAGGCTGGATCTGAACCCTTCTTGTTCTCTTGCTTGCAAGTAAAAACATAAACAAAACCCCAACATTTTTTGCCATCCACCTCAAAATCTCAGGTTACTTTCTGAAAATTTCAATTGAGTTCAACTTAGTGATTTTCTCTCAAGTTTGAGTTATTTACCTGAAATTTTGAGACTATGTTTTCTAAACTGTGTAATCTATTTTTTTAAACAATGCTGGGAGTGAAAAAAAATATTTGTAATTAATCAACTAAAGCTGAAAGACTTTTAATGCCACAACAGACTGATGTCAGTATAGAAAATTACCCATCCACTATTTTTGATTTTGTGTGATTTAATATGTCATCAATCATTTGTGAAAACCAGGGAACAATTTGTACCAGTGACTGAAGACTGCATGCTTCTGGGTGTTGGTGTCATCGCTGTGGCTGCATTCATCCTCAGAAAGTGGGAACAGGTAAAGTAAAATTTCTTTTTTTATATTACACCTGCAACAGAAATTGTTGTCACTGTAAAGGTTCAGATAACCTTTTTAAGTAACCTACTTGATTTCAATTAAATTAAATCTGAATCTAATCGAACTGTGTTTAACTGTAGGTAGTTGGAGAACTGAGCCACATCACAAGAATCTCAAAGAGAAGCATCACTGATTTTGCTCACGCGACTTTGGTGCACATTGTTGGCATCAGCTCCAGTGTCACTCCACTCTCATGACTGGCATGAGAAGAAAAAAATCTGTGTGCTGCAATAAAATGCCACCTATACAAATAAAAAAATCACTAAAGATTGGCGATGTTGCCAAAGTGTTAGAAAAACTGTTAACTGTTCATTCTGTGAAGCCAAATAAATAAAAAGAGATTAGAGCTATGGAAATACAATTGATTTAGTTTCAAATACTGTTACAGCCTTACTATAGCTGCTGACACTTATCCACTCGCTTAAATTTGATGCACTGCAATTTATTATAACACTCAAATGTGGATTTGAGCTGGGGATCAAATGCCCATTAACATTTGACGGGTCCTCCTCATCTTTCTTTTTGTCATTAGGCAGGCAAACATGCAGGGAATGAACATCAATCGCATCTGCAGAAAGAAATAAAAAAAACTGAGTTGCTGTAGAGAGAACCCAAAATCTTCAAATGTGTTAACATTTATGCTTTGGGATGAAACTGACATCTTCTTGTGTGTAGTAAATTTAAAAAAGGCAGATGGAAAAACAAAAACAGGAAGGAAAACAAAGGACCAAAGACGATGGGAAGATTATATAAATAAAGGGTGAATTACAAAACATGACCCAGGTAGCAAAAGGTCACAAGTGGAGACAACCCCCCAAAACACACAAGAACACAAACCATCAGAGGAAACCAGGACATAACAGAGAGAAATAACTTGCACCAAAATGTGAAAACTAACACTTAGTGGGACAAGACAAGGCACCAGGAATTAGGAAAAGCTAGAACCACAAAGTGGCACAGCAAAACAGAGACAATATTAGGACCATGACACATCCATTTTATGCAAAAACATAAATAATTAAAGAAAGTGAAAAATAAAATATTAAGATTGTATAGTTACCCAGGGCGGCTGGGAGTTAAATGTGGATAGATAGAGTACAGTTCCTGAGATGATCATGATATCCACTATATCTGACACATCAGAGCGCCCAGTGATGCCATCACCCTGAAACAGATGGGGAAGGACAAAGTGCAGTCATGTAATTATAGTTTTAATTTTTCAAAAGCCTGTTTTTTCTTTTTTATTCTTTTTCTCAGTTTACCTGTCGAATTCTCATGTAACAGTCCTTCAAGTCAAACACGTTTGGGTCCACGACTACCCTCCCCTTACAAATTTCACATCTTTGGACAGCACGGAAAGATAACCCTGGAAATACACACACATCGTGACTAAGCATATTGACCATAATACTACCGTATAGCTTTTTCTTTTGCAGGCAACTTTTTTGGGGGCTATACCAGCAGACACAGTGGAAACAGCAACATTATCTTCCTGTTTAAAACTGGTCTGAACCATAGAAAGATTAATTAAGAGGTCCAGTCAGGCGGGGAAAAAAAGGAACATCAATCAGATTATTGCACTGAAGACATGACAAGCATGTGTTTCTTGTAGGATGATAAATGGGCTCCAGTGTAGGAGGTCTTGCCAGGGCTGCAGTTTTGATATTGTTATTCCTCTTTCAGTAGAGAACATTATTTAATTTTGTTCTAATCAATATTATAGGTAATTGGATAATATGGAAGAACTTTTTTTGCTGAAAAAATAGCATGTTGAAATGGCAAATTTCACCATTCATATAGAAAATTCAGCTTCTCAATTTTAGCTGCCTACCAACCTGAGTGGATTTTGGCCTTGAGCCATGTTTTCAGGCAGTCCAAGTGTATGAAGAGCAGACTTCCTGAACACAGGCAGGGTGACAACAATGGGTTGCTCGGTGACGCGTCACTGCTGTAGCAGATCCGGCATCGGTCTTTCTCTTTTTCCTCCTCATTGTCCTGTAATGGCTCCTCTAACATCCTACAGGTAGATGATATATCACATTAGACAATATGTCTAAATGGGAACCTGTTATGTTTGACTCCACATACTCTCATACATATACTGTTATATATGGTGGAATCGCATTTTAACAAGGGCCAGCGTTTTGAATATTTAAATCAGTATAGTTTAAACTGCTCTGAATGCTGCTCTGAAACCTTGAGTCCATAAACAGCAGCCAAAAAATCTGTTCAAAAGCAGGGGCAAAGAGGTTAAAATGTCCTGTTTTACACATGGGATGAACTAAAGGGGCTCCAACAAGGTCCAATATAAGATTTCAAGAAATATTTTGAATCATTAAAAGCTTCTCTAGCGGTGAAGCTGAAAAAGTTCTCTAAATTTCCAGTTAAGTCACGGCTAATCAGTGTATTCCAAAGTCAGACATATTAACAATTGAAACATCCTGCAAGATTACCTAAAATTTGGTTGTAGATCACCTAATGTGTCTGTAAAAGTAATTCACCTCCGTTTGAATCTGGATAACATCTGTCCATCGCAGTCTTTTGAAGATGGGGGCACTTCAGCAGCAGCAGCCCCTTGGCACTCTTGATTCTGTGGAAGCGCTTCACCTTCACCAGCTGTCATCATAATGGAGGTTTTAGAGGTATATGGACCTCTTCTTTTATTACGAGACCGCAGTGTGTTGGCATTGCTGGTTCCATTCTGAAAAGCGCCGTCCTCCATGTTGCCCACACAGGTCTGCCTTTGAGAGAGGCCTGAGCTGAGTAAGGAGGGAGGACATTGCTTTCCCCCCTGAGTACAAGCTGAAAAGCCCGTGTTGACTTTGCCAGGTGGTGTCGGCATCACATGAGGTGACCTTCTTTGTTTTAGGAGAGGAGTGACACTGCTAAGAGGAGCTCCACTCAGGACTGCTGACATACTTAACTGTGACCTGAAAGACTGCTGTCTAAGCGGGCTGTGAGAGCAGCCAGCAGAGACTGAACTTGACTGACGTGCTGTTTTCGAAAAGGTGATCGAATCACTCTCTCTACGTGTGTGCTGCCAGGAGTCTGTTAAGCCGCCATCTGCCTCCACCTCAGATTCACCAGACAATACATTCAATATGTGGCGATGTAGGACAGCGATGGTGTCTCCCTGGAAGTTGTCCAGAGTCTCAGCACTGGAGGGGAGCTCAAACTCTGCGATTTGCCCGTAGCTTGTTCTGTTGAAAAGGTGGTTCACATTGTTCCTGCTCTTCAGGATGTCTTGGCTTTGTATTTGTTTACACGCTTCCCTGTGGGTAGATCCATTTAATACAGCATCTTTCACAAGCTTAGACCTGTGCTTGATGTGATACGGGACATTGTGTGCTATATTATGGTGAGAAAGGAAAAGAAATTAAACTTATTGGTTTGGAATGAAAACATTTTGGATATCAAATAACAACTAATATTATAAAATAAATAAATAAAACACAGGGTAGTTAGAAAACCGGTCCAGGTCCTGCTACAACCTGCAGCACAAAATGCATTCTAGAAAACTTACATCTGGATGGCAGTGGGGGCTTTCCACAGTGGGGCATTTTTGAAGTCACTGCCAGCTCTGCACTCATGCTCTGGGTTTCGCTGGAAAAAGCTTGACAGCGGGACACTGAGGCTTTGTTCAGAGGGTTCTCTGGCTCAGATAAAGTACACTTCCCAAAGCTGTGGGGGGCCAACTACAGGTGGCAAACAGAGAGGTTGCTGGAGATTAAGACTTTTGGAAAGCTGAGCTACTCAAGAGGGATATCGGATGTTCCTGTTTTGAAAGTGTTCTTACCTTCGGGGCTTCCCTTGCAGCTGACACTGAGTGCAATTGTGTGAAAATATTCGGCACGCCCGAAATATTTGCTTTTGTCTCCTGACTCCACCTTTGATAAAAATTCTGATAAAACAGATTCAATACAGTGGATGAGAAGGAAGGATATACAGCATGTCCGTATGAGTTTTTGTGTTGTGTACATCAAACTGTACCATGCTCTCAATCTGTAAATGTTTCCACCAAGAGGGCAGCATTACTCACAACGTGTTGTCCCCTGCAACACAAAGACAGTGAGAAATAGCATAAAAGCCAGTCTGAACATTTAAAGATACAATCAGGTCTCAGTTACTATCATAGAAAACAAGGCCATAGCATGACATAATGTCTGTGCTGATAACAGTTCAATACCATGAATCCTTACTCACTCTCTCTGCTTAAAAATTTTACAGAAACTAGTTACACACAAAACTTCCAGAAGTTAAACCTGACACAAATTATCTGCTATTTATTGTAAATAAATAGCCTGTCTGGAAGGAGTCTGAATAGTAATTATACAATGAAATCATTTTTATTTTTAGATTTTAAGAGCAAGTAAATAAGCTGGACATCAAAAGCAGGTTTATTTTATGAGAGCAACATACCTACGCTACACACTTCATCTGTTACACCTTATTTGCTTAATTCTTCCCATCACAGATTCAACAAGGTGCTGGAAACCTTCCTCAGAGACTTTGATCCACAGTGGCATGATAGCATTACAGTTAGTCCAGGTTTTTCAGATACACGTCCATAACATCAATCTCCCATTCCACCATATCCCAAAGATCATCTATTGGATTGAGATATTGCGACTGTGGTGGTCATCTGAGTACAGTGAACTCATTATCATGTTTGAGAAACCAGTTTGAAATATTTAAGCTTTGTTACATGGTCCAATGTGCTGCTGGAGGAAGCCATCAAACGTTGTGTACACTGTCCTCCTTCTGATGCTCAGTTTGAAATTCAGCAGTTCGTGATTGTGATTGGCTAACTAGACATTTGTGTAACCAAAAATGTGAACAAGTGTCCCTAAGAGACTATTTTTCCACTCAGTGTGCACTTCAAAACTCCAAAGTTATTTTTCAACATTGTTTTGTAATCACACTAAAGTTTAACATTACAAATGAACTTGGATTTACAAATTATGTTTAATAATTTTATTTAATAAGTAATATGTTAATAATTACCTCAGGCCTGCGCTTATTCACAAAGTATCACCATCACCAAAAGACAGACGGTAAATTAAAAAGAAAAAAAGAAAAAAGACGTGGTTTCAAAGCGCAATGCGAACCTTTTAAAACTTTATAAATACATTTTCAAAAGGTACATTTCAAACTTTTCATTCCCTTAACTTAAATATAACTACAGTAATATAAAACATTACATATATGACACTTTTTTTGACTTACTTTGTACTCGGATAATGACCACTTTGTGTACAATACATCCACCACTGCGGTTTTTTTTTCCAAATGATACGTTTCCATCGAAACCAGAATCCGCAGCTGCGCGGTGGCTGGTGTCCAGTTCTAACCACGTGTTTCTAGACAAGGCGGGGAGTTTGAAAATATTTAATTTTAGCGCTCTACGGGAAATAAAACCTGCATATGTGGACACGACGGTCACATCTGATCAAAATCACTAGAATTAAGCGCTGCTCTCTGGCTGGATGTAATGTCAATTAAGACAACAAGAATTCCTTGGTCCAAGCAAAGATGACAGTACACGTATAGGCTAACTGCTTTGGAGCATAGTCAGTAATTTTAAAATAACTGCCTGAAAATACGACCAAGATGACTACTTATTGGCAAGTTTGTCTTTGATTATGATCAAATTAAAGCTTTAGCAAGACAAGTTCAAAGAGTTGTTGCAAAGCCAATATTCAACAGTTTTAGATTAACTGGAATAAACAGCTCATATATATTTTTTTTTCACACGTGACAGAGCTTCCGCCGTTTTTTTCCCGGATGGCTGCAGACACGGAATATTTCACCTGTTCTGACTTCCTCTGTTTTGTTGATGTTTAGAAACAAATGTTTTACATTTACATTCATCACTCCATGAGACCTATTGCTAGATATTTTCAGTCTAAGGAAACCACTTTCAGAATATTTTAGACCTGCCACTTCTTTTGTCCCCCACTTATTAAGTTTCCCCAGATTTTTTGAGGACACACTGCACATCATATACAACAATGTCAAGCTTGCTGCTCATACCCCTGTGGGGAACACCTTGTTGGTGCAAAAAATACTATTTTATGTCAAACTGTGTTGGCAGTTTAAAAATTTTTTTTTTATCATTTTCTTCAACTAAAGAAAGCAACACAACACATTGTGTGTTTTTGGACCAGGCTATCAGTAACTAAGTGACAAAATATAGAATTTAAATCTGTGTCTAGACACAACACAGGATGATTCATTCAGTCCAGGATTTATTTATTTTTTGCTGTCTCTGTGTCTTATATTGTTTGTATTATAGGTGATATGATTTAAATTTCATTCCAGCTACTTTTTCTATCCTCTTAAGCTTTTCCTTGCTTTACGCTAATGGCTTCAAATGATGGTGTTTATGTTTTATTCTTTTTAATTTAACATCTGAGACGACAGCTGGAAATTGTCTATTTGTCTACCATGAAAACATTTACAGTTTTAATGGATTACTTGTGAAGATATAAATAAACAATTGGACACACTTTTTCATCACTATAATGCACATGAAGTTTTGTTGTTGGGTTTAAAATAATTTTAGGTGCACTTCAGACTAATTGTTTTAGCCAGTATATTGTTTTATTGACAGTGTTGAAATAAAGCTTTCTTTCCTTTATGTGAGTGATAATGGAGGCCAATCTGTAACTTCAAATTTGAGAGTGTTTTGGCTCCTTTATGATACAGAACTCATGTGCAGCTGATAAAAGGATCTCTCACACTGGCATAACATCAGACAAATTTGAGGTGAGCTATACAACCCCAGTAGATTAGCATAAGAAATCCAGGGCCAGCAGGTTCACTGAGCCACTCTCTTCCTTCTCTGGCTCCCCACAACTCTGCTGATCCCTCTGCAATCCTGTGTTAGTCCCAGTTAATCTTACCTCCTCTTGCAGTGGGCTAGAGTGGGCTCCACACTCACCTCTACTGTTTTCATTCTTTATATTCAGACAGATGGGAAAGTCCAGGGGAAGACAGAGATTAAGAAAGCTCTGGCAGGATTTGTGTTTCTAGAGGTGAGGGGAGCTCTATCTGTGACCACCTCATCTATCACACTCTGTGTGAGTACACTGTAGAAACCCCCCCCCCCCCCCCCCACACACACACACACACACACACACACACACCAAAGCCAGTTTCCAGGAACCCGTCAGGTATTTCTCATTACCAATTGGCGAGAGAATACCTTTTGTGTACAAATGTCTGTTTTGGCATGTTTGTTAGTTAGTGTGCATACTGATGGATGTGTTTAGTTACATGGCTTATAAGCTGAGATAAATTATGTTGTCATGTTTTTCTGTAAAGTGTCAAGTGTGGTAGAAAATGGTTGCTTTCTCTCTTAAAGACTGCTTAAATAGCCCTGACTGCAGATTTCTGGAATGATGCCGAGAATATGCCCCCCAATATTAATCCAATTGAGACACAAAATAAATCGAGTTCTTACAAAGAAAAACCCCTTTGTGATATTATTAAACACGACAGCAGTACCTCAGACATGAGCAGGTCTTGTTTTACTCACTAACATTTTCAGTTCATACTGCCATAAAATCTTTTGTGGTAAACTTCATTATCAGTGGCACATGCAAACACGGTGTTATGATCTCAGTCTGCAGCGGAACAATATAACCTCTCAAAACAAGGACTAGTAAGTCAGTATCAAGGCTTCGTTCCCCCCCCACATAAAAGGCCATTTTCAGTTTGCATTCACAATGATTATTGCTGGTTTGTTAAATAATGCATAAGACCTGTTGCCTTATCGTCTTGTTTTTAGTCAAACTTAATAAGAAAGCAGAGATTTTTTGGCTTATTAAAATCATCAAAGATCATGTGACATGTTTTGAATGTGATGAAAAACAGAAACTGAACTAAGAACCTAAAGTCAAATGAGCAAGTGACATTTTCAGCAGGTTATTTCTCCCCAACAAAAAGACCTGGCCTGATATGAGTAAATATGTGTGCAAAAGTGATAAGAATGCCTTTCTGGAATATATCATTTTGTATTTTAATTAATTACTCGGTTCATGAATTTCCACGATAAATTCATGCAGAAAAGGTACAAACTGGTGCCTAAACATTTACCATGACTCAGCAAATTCAATATCAGGAATCCCCAAATAAAACCTCTCCCCATACAATTAGATGAAAGAGAACATCTTTCTTTTATCACCAGCTACACAGCTGAAATTTGAACACAGTTAGGTGTTCCAACGGGATATACATATACAAACCTGGTTTTAATGGGTAATAGAAGCTAATATTACATTTCTTGAATGACCTTGCCAAAACCCCTACCTCAACCCTACTGAAAAGTGTGTGGACTATGCTTAAAGGTTGGATCCATACTATGAACCCAGGCAGTTTAAATGAACTCTTGCAATTCTGCCAAGAAGAGTGGTAAAATATTCAGCTAGAATTTTATATCAGAATCTTGTTGATGGCTACCAAAAGTGTCCCGCTGAGGTGCAACTCGTTGAGGGAAATTTCAGGAGGTATTTGCTTTAACCCTATGTGTGCCTTGTGTTTATTTCTCTAACACTTGTACTAATTGTACTTCTACTAGTCTTCTCTTGGTTGTTTTTACTAATTACTGTACAAGATACATTTTAAATAGCGACATGTATTCATGTCCATGAAGCCTGACCAGTGTTGGAAATGTGTTTTCTCCACTAGAATAGGCCTAAATAAAAAGTTATTCAAGTCAACTGATTCAATTTCACGTGAAGTGATTCAAATTCAAAATGTCAATGCAATTATTCAAGTTGATAAATTAAACATTCGATATAAATGATTCAAACGCTCCATCTAGTAATTCATTTTCAGTGTCCGGAGGCATGCATTTTTTTTGCCCATCTATTTGCCCTTTACAGTTACATGACTAAATAAATAAATAAGAAGCAGAAAAACAAGATAATCAATCTCCCAAACATTTAAACGTTGCACTAAATGTTTCTCTTTCTGTCTAAAATATGCCTTCAGCATACACTGCGTTTGACTTCACTTTTTTTTAAGCTCTGAATAGATTTAGATCGATTTAACTTGTAGCTATATGCCACAATCAAGCGCTGTGTAGAGTTAATTTTACCCCATTTGTTACTCTGGCTGATAAACCTGTTCTTTCATTGACTGATGGAAGAAAAGGATCAGGATAATGTCTGACACTTGCCTGCGTCTCCCTCCATCTATCATGTTAAATGTCAGATGCCATGGTCTTCTGGGGGAATGAATGGAGGTTTGATTGGCATCGACCTTGTTTCTCTTGAATAATTATGAATGATTTGGGTATTATTGGCTCCTTTCAGCATAAATAATTCAGAACTGAGTTCAACCCCCCTCCCGCCGTATGTTGCTCCGGTGCTCAGTTTGTTCGCCTGGTTCAAGTTTTTTTTTAAAATGTATAATAAGATGGCACTAATCACAAACACCAAATGAAGATTTTCCAAGCACATTTTAATTTTGGTTTAAGCGCTTCCTGAGGTCCTGAGACCGTTGAGTGTTTTACTTTGAAAGGCACAGCCGGATGTGGTGTACTTGATGAATCGGGCTGACTTGATGCAGTGGTAGGCAGGGCATCGCTCCATGTTGCGGCGCTGCGTGGCACTGGGCACTGACTGTCTCACTGCTCCACACGCACACATACACGCAGATACGCATGACTTTAGTTGTGAATGGCCCAGACGCTTGACACGCTGGGTGGGCGAGAAGCAGCCGTGAGTCCGGCTCTGCTACCTGCTGCAGACCGAGCTTTCGCCGGGAGCACCCCGGGGTGTCGCTACTGTGACTGCACCCTGCGTTTGGACTGAATGTGGCCGCTTTGATCGGTGCAGTTATTTTCGGAGTCACTCTCTGTAAGCTATTTCGGAGCGACTGGAAACGCGCAGACTGGTAATTTGGAGTGAGGAGCCGCACGGAGCGCTGCAGCAGCAGCATCAGCAAGCAGACAGGGAACCGGAGCAACAGCAGCAGCAGAGAAGAAACGACTGTGATGCCAAAGCTGGTCAGAAAAACAAAGGTTCAAGTCTAGAAAAGGTAACCCATCCCTTTCAGAGCTGCACCTATTGCCATTTTAAAGTTTTATTATGTCTTGAATGGAAATGTCTTAGAAGTGTCATGCTCCTGCAGCAGCCGATCTATAACCTGTAATGCCAATACCTCTCAGCCGCTTACAGTGGAAGCCAAGCCATTCAAGTAAGCCAATAAAAACCCAGCGTAGTGTTTAATGAGATAGAGTTAGCTGTTCCTTTGTACTCACTAACAAGCAGCCCCCTACCCCGCAGCATATGTGATTCAT